ACAGCAACCACACAACCTCCCACAAACCCTCTCTTCCTTCAGCTCTTAAAACTAAAATCCATGATGTATTCAATTCCTATTGAGCCTACCATTTGTGCTCCCAATAGAACACATTGTTCAATCCTCTAGTCCTCAAATTGAACAGCACCCTATTAACATTATTGAACTAGTAAGTATAAAAGAAGTTGTTGCACCAGGCGGTGGGAACTATTATAAGGTTTTTCCAATTAAAGAATAGCTTCAGAATCTCCAAAGCCTCGCCGGACATATTGGAGTACAAGATATTTGTACACTTTATCCCATCATCACGAACCTCCTTGCTAGGTGGCAAGATAGCCAATGATAAAATGGCCCCAAGAGACATGAAACACATAAAGCCTATGTAGGTTCCATCATTTGCAGAAGAAGCCTTAGTAAGATGGTAATTTAGAATAAAAGGAATTAACCCACCAATCAGGTTGCCCATGTTGAATATACTGTAGAAAATAGAAACATAAGTCCTTTTTTGATTTACTAGAGGGTATGATGTTATGCTAGCACCCTACACAAAGACCGGCACCTATACCAAGAAGATCACCTGTGACTATGGCGAACGCTTGATGGTCGTAATAGTTGTAGTAGAGGAAGGGACTGGAGTAAAGGACATAGATGGAGTAGCCTGTGAAGATGGTTATGTGGGGTCTGAGGATATTGTAGACTGCACCGCCGATGATGCCAAAAATAGCGATGGTGTTGTAAAGGGCAGTGAGAGAGTTATTGGATGCAGTGGGATCAACTTGACCACCACCTTCCATTCCAAAAGAGCATTGAACATGCTAGGACAGTAAAAGCAGACTAGACTAATGAGGATGATTTGAACAAATGGAGAATTGTACCTTAGAAGGGAATGATTTTTTATGCTTTCGGGCATCTGGGTACTTGATTCTTTATCTCCGACTAATCCTACCAAAAAAATTTAGCTAGCTGAGATCTAAGCTTGTCTCTGTGTTTGTAAAAGAACAAGTTGCAGGGGGAGTAGGGCTATGGAAATTCAGATCAGAGAAAGGGATGAAGCCGAGGAAAATAATGCAGGAAAAATGCCATGTGCTGTCTTGTTACAATCACACGCCAGTACGCACAAAGGTTGTGTCTGTGAGTATGGGAACAAGAATCCTAAATGCTGAGCTGCGTGGGTGAAAGAAATGGGCGATGTCAAATGATAAGTTCTTGAAGTGACGCTTAAAAGGGTAGATTTCAAATTTCATTCATGCTTGAGTTAGGTTGGATTTATTACTATCTATATTATAACATTTTACAATTCAAAGTTTGTTTGATTCCTCTTTCTCTCTGTTTTTTTGATGAAAAGTTTGTCTGATCTCTCTATTAGACCCTGACTGGTTGGGAGAGGGGAGGAAAAATTTTTCCTCCCTTTCCCTCTAAAACCCCGCCTCCCAAATTGAGGGATCCATCCTTTTGCTCGCCTTCCCCTTCATCTCCTTTCCTTCCAATATTTAAACCAAACGCAGTCTTAGTGTTGCTAGTGGCAAATATTGTTTGTAATACTAGTGACTTCCTTGCTCGTCCATTCTTGATCATAATTCCAGTAGATTCTTCGATTAGAGCGCCATCAATTTTTAAATTCTTTCTAAACTTAATCATTATGCTTTTCCTTCTTTTCTTTTTCCTTTCCCATAATAGTGATTTTTTTTATTGCATTTTGATTCGGTTGGATAATACTTCCTTTTATGGGATATTTTTTAAAAGTAATTTTTAATTTAAAATATATAATACTTTATAATTTGTATTAATTAAGCTATTTTATTCAATTTTATCTTTTCTTAATTAATGTAAAAATATTTAATATAATTGTATTATTAAAAGAAAAGTACATATTATTTTTTATAATATAAAAAATAATTTTTTAAAGTACATGAAATAATTAAAAGTGTCTTATAATAAAAATTTAATAAAAGACAAATAAAATACATTTAATTGATTATATAAGTTGTCAAATTCAAGTAAACTCGTGATGCGATGTAAACTCAAATCTGTTAATAAATTGTTATTAAAAGTATATAATTAAATAATTAAAATATAAAGAAATCTTTTCAGTCTAAAATATAAGTCATTTTTAAGAAAAAAAAGTATACAAATAAAGTTCTTATTTTCGTAACAATATATATTATTTCTCCTTTTACCCTTAGTTTTAATTACCGATGCATCTCATGATAAGTAAGAGATATATTTGCATAAAAAATTAGGTTAATAAATACAAGAGGTAAAATAATTTTTTTTTTTTGCATTTACTAAATTGTTTATATTTTGAAACAAGATTATCTGAGAAGAAGAGGAAATGTTTATATTTTGAACAGGAGTGAGTATGACCATAATTTAATTCATATACATTTTAAATATAAATAATTGAAATTAAATCTATCCACAATAATATATTATCGCACTAAATGTAGAAATTCAAAATTATACAACTTATTTTTTTTATTAATATTAATTTTTTCCTTTTTGAGTTTCATTTTTCTTTCAATTGGATCTTGTTGCTTCTTTAAACTGAATTCTACACAATATATACCTAACTCACTTAACTCAATAAAAATTAATGAATTTAGCAAGTGTAATCAAATTTATATCTAGTTCGAATTTACGAACAAAATGATATAATTTTATAAGTTAGAAATAAAAATGATAAGCTTAAAGAGTCAATTTACAAGTTCAATCGAGTTTACATCCATTCGAGTTTATGAGAATATGATTTTATAAGTTAGAAATGTAAAAATAATTATTTTAAAAAGTCAATTTAAAAATTTGACAACACTACAATAGTGTCTCACATAGTGACACTTTTCCTTTTTGGAGTTTTGTCTTAGGGCTTAGTTTGTTTAAGACTTCAAAAAAAGATAATTTCAATTAAGCTTAATATAAAATCATTATTAGGATAATTTTAAGCAGAAAATAAACTAATAAATTGAAAAGTGCTAAATTGGAAGATTGAATCTTTTCATTTTACTTTCTTGTTTTAAATTATAAGATAATATGAGATAGGACTATGCATACCAATAAACACAATAAGGACACTTTATATACTTATTTTTTAAAACAAAATTATAAACTTTAAAAAAATATCCCTACACACTTAATCATTAGCTTATAATATTATTTTAATGCTTTCTCTACTTGAATTAATAAATTTTATATTTTTTAAAATTATTTTATATTTTGTGACAACAGAATTCTTTTGAACTAATTTATAATTTAAAATGAATGGAGTATTGTTGATTGAATCAACTTGGCAAGGTAAGTTTCAACTTTCACTGTCTACGTCTAGATTCCTTAAAACAAATGGTATATATATATAAAAGGTTAGGTAATCTCTTATCACAATATAATTGTAATTATAACTAGTGTCAATGATAATTTTGTGAGGGGTTTCGAACGATTAACTGTATGAAATATGAAAACAGAGATGGTTATTTTCCAGTCCTCCAAGACCATATTTTTTTCTTTTTCATTCGAAAGTGAAATCGATGCGACTCCGGAAAAGCTTACGCCACGCCCACAACCACAATTGACCCTCCACCCAATCCAATTCAACAATTCGAACCGAATCACCTTCACGAACCATGCAATAAGATGGCAAGAAGCTATTTGGCTCTATATGCACAGTATTTTCGTGCTATTCATGCTTGATTTAAGGATTAAATGGTAAATTTTACTTCAAATTTTTTCTCCAAAGGTGCAGGGCATTCTAAACTTTTTTGAAACATTTTTAACCCATTGTTAAATATAAAAAATATTAACAATTAAACTGAAGTTTGACAAAGGGCTAAATGGTATACTTGTCTTAAAACTTTTATTCTAAGAGTGCTAGGTATCCTAAACTTTTGTTTAAAACTTATTTTTCTTGAAGGTTTCAAAAGGAACACAATTTTATCCTGCCATTAGTATTGATCATTACTTTAATTTTAATTGTCACTCGTAGGCTTGTAACCACGCAGCATTTTAAATTTTTTTTTTTAAGAAAAATTCACCTAGATAGCAAGAATACCTCCATTAACATCAATAACAATAGCAAGCACAATTCTATAAACATTAAACAAGAACAATAAGCAATTTCAAATCATCTGAATCCATACCTATGTTAAAAAACAATCAACTATTTATTGAGTTAATTCATATGAACTCGGTCACATGAAAGTTCTCTTCTTCTATTTTAAAATTTCATTATCTCACTTAACTATGACAACTTTGACCTTGACTTAGACTCTTTTGAGAGCCTCACAATAACAAAATTGATCACGGTGGTGGCGGCGAAAGTAGGGGCTTGGATGTTATGCGAGGAGCATGTTGCAAGTTAGGGGAGGGTGATGATAATCTACGGGAAGTTAAGAGTGACGGATTCGCCTTTGATGGACAAAGCGGCAATGTTGTAGGCTTAAATAGTCATTTTTGAGGGGTGAAAGTGTTGAGTTAGATTTGAGACTTTTTTGCGATACTCACAAATCTTGAATACCTATTTTTTCTGACTTTACATTTGGATTTTAATCCATGGTAGCTTGGGAATTTGCTGATAGAAGAGAAAGAGAAAGAAAAAGAAGACGACAATGTAGAAGAATAGAGAGTAAAATTGCTCCATTTTTAAAACTTTTAGGATAAAAAGGCTCCAAACAAAATTCAGGATACACAACACTCTTTGAAAAAAAGATTTAAGACAAATATGCCCTTTAACTCTTGATCAAAATTTTAATTTAATGGTCAATATTTTTTATATTTAGCGATGGCATAAAAATACTCTCTTTTAAAAAAGTTTAGAGCAAAAATGTTTCAAAAAAAAATTTAAAATGTTAGACGCCTTTAAAAAAACTTTTAAAAATAAATTTATCATTTAACTCTCGATATAATTACAGACAGGCTTCAAATTTAAAATTTAAAAATAATAATTATATCTAAATAAAATCATACAAATTAAAACTATTTTCGGGTAACGAGCCGATCGCTGGCATTCGGTATTCCATAATCCACAAGCGCGGAGCCAATGCAAGCGTCATCTATGGTGGTTTTGTCTATCTCTATCCTGTTTTTCTGTGTATTGTATTGGAGCATGTATACCATTGAGCACCAGTGTCACTAGCAATTGTTCTCCAGCTTCAACGCACTTAACAGACCCGGAACATGTTTTCATGTACAGCCATCTCCATCTCCACCACCTCATACACTTTCCCGATTACCATTAAAATTAATAAATTCCACCATAGACTCAGGCAATCGCTGGCTGCTTCCTCTTCTTCTATTCACTACGACAGTCTCCGAGTGCTGGAATGGGATAAGCTGTGCGATTTGGTCGCTTCCTTCGCTACCACCTCTCTGGGCTGCAAAGCCGTCAAAGTTCGTCTCAGCCTCCTTCCGTGGTTGTTTTTCTTTGTTTCTTGCTCATCTTCCTTGCTTAATGTTATGCTTATTAATGGGGCAGGCCCAGCTATGGTCTCTGAATCAGACTTACGACGAGAGCCTGAGACTTCTGAACGAAACAAATGCGGCCGTCGAAATGCACAAGCATGGAGGTTGCCGACTGGACTTCGGCCACATTGATGCTGCCCTGGTCAGTGCGGAAATTTGATTCTCATGTACTTGCACTACTATTATCGGGAAGAATCGCAGGCTTCAGTGTCTGTCTGAACACTTGTCGAACTTCAATTACCATGTTTAACAAAACTGTGGAGTTAAAATCGTACTTCTGTTTCCACTGTTTGTCTTAGCTGCTCATACACGTCATGGTGTAGTCAGCTGTATTACATAATTTTCCAAGGATTTTACTGTTATGATGACTTATGAGGTTTCATTCACGGTTTTTAGTTTTACTCATCCAGGTAAATTAATTTGAATTTGGCATTTCACGTTGATTCCAAATTGAATTTACCTTTTCTCCAAGTTGTAACTCTGATTTCTTCCTTTTAAAAAAAGACTGAATGGTCTCTCTTATTATTTTACTCTGCCGGATATACAAAAGATAGTTTGCAGTGGTCTTTATTTTTGCCTTTCCTTCCAACTTGATGTTATTTAATTGAGATTCTTGTAGGTGGAGTCTGCAATTCAGCATGCCCGGATAAATAGACCAGTAAATGGCTTTGAGGCATTGGCCACTGCTACGCTTATTCAGCATGCTGAAACCTTGCAGGCTAATCTGAGAGCTGCAATCAAGGAAGATATAGATTGGTATAGTCGTTTCATGCCTCTTACAAAAGTGGTAAATAGTTCAGTAAGATTTAGTGTAGTAAACATTGGGTTGCCTTCGAGTGCATTTTCATGTTGCATGACCATTCTTTGTTATTATCTTTCAGATAATGGAATTTGTCATTAATCGATCATTGGTTAGATTGATAGAGCAAGTTATTGATGAAAATGGTTCTGTCAAGGACTCTGCGGTTTGTTCTAGATCTCATACAGTTTTCCTTTTTCTGACTCCATGCATATAATGATCACGGTGACCTGAACTTAGTTTGCACAATAAGGCTTGTTATTGTATGCTTAGTTTCCTCTACTTGCTTCATAGCATATTTTATGTTTTAAGAGGTAGATCTCTCTTTTGCTGCTGCTATACTAGCAATTGTTCCTTGTTTTCAAATTATCATGTAACTTGAAACTTATTTTCTACCTCTAGAGTCCTACCCTTAAACAGTCACGAGAACAAGTGTTGTCACTTGAGAAAAAGGTACCACTTCTTCCCCCCCGTTTGTATAGTTATTTTATGAAATGTTCACTGCTTAGATATTTAGAGTTTTTCATGGCTTTGTTTAGAATGTGTATTTTATGAAAATGTTTGAATGTTTATCTTGATTCAAATGATTCTTCTAGTTTCTAAAATTATTATGCTCATCTTATGTGAATATGAGTTCTATGATCTTCGTTTTGGGAAAAATGGATTTAGTTTGTTAGAACTTGTATGAGCTAACAAGAATCTAAAAGTTAAGACTTAGTAAAAAAAAAAATATATATATATATATATAGATTCCAATTTCTTTCCTTCAGATTAATGCCTTTGTTCATTGCTGTCATAAATAGCTAGTTTCTAAGCCCTGGCTACTACAACTTTGGTATCTCCCTCTCTTTGCTTTGTCTTACTGATCTTATGGTGATCTTGAATTGTGTTGGTCAAACATGCTATCCCAGTTGATGTTTGAATTGGAATTATCCTTTTATATCAGATACATCGGTTGATGGAGAGATTGATCAGAAATGAAAGGAGTGAAGCTTCAATTCTTGTAAGATGCAATATACTGCATATGTGCTTTTCATCTTTATGATGCTTTCCCTGATAATCTTGTAATGATGGACCAGGAAGTGAATAATATTGATGGCAGGTGGTGTCTTCGAGTGGATTCTGGTCAGAGGACAAGCTTTAAGGGTCTCTTATTGTCCAGGTGCATAAAATTTGTCAGATTATTTCGAGACTATTGGTTTGGTTGGTCACATGATAATCTCTTTGTCACTTGTTTAATAAAGCTAGTTGGTCGTCATAAAATTCTACTTCTGAATCATAGCATATTTTGATAGTGGCTCAGGGGGAGGAAGTATTGTAGAGCCTCTTTCTGCTATTCCATTAAATGATGAGTTACAAGAAGCTAGAGCTTCAATGGCTAAAGCAGAGGCAGATGTGCTTTTCAGATTAACAGAAAAGGTTGCTTATGTGATATGAAAGAAATTCGTTTATAGTTTAATATCTTTTCTTATATTATATGGCTCGTGCAGATTCAGCTGGACCTTGATGATCTTGAAAAAGATGTTGAACAGCATGGTTCAACTTGATGTGGTAAATATATATAACCTTTTAAAAGAATTGGATCTCCATTTTCTGGTTTCTTCATCTCCTTCACCTTCTATGCTCTCTTTCTTATTTTATTGTTTGAAACTTTCATGGTCCAAACATACGAAGTCAGAGATGATAGATTGATTTTTTTCAATACAATGCTTGTTTGATTATTCTGCATATCCTTGTGTGGTGAGGACATTGTCAGCTCATTCCCACATCTGCTTGTTTGATCATTTGGGTTCTATTGTGCAGATCAATGCTAGAGCTACTTATGGTCTTTCTTTTGGAGGATGCACTGCTTCATAAACATACACTTTGATTGTCAGGTTGCCATGCTAGAACAAGACCCCCAGTCCCCAGTTCCAGTTGATTTTTTTGTACCCCAGAAAACTCGTGTTTTAATTGTAACTGGCCCTAACACTGGTGGTAAAACCATATGCTTGAAGACTGTAGGATTGGCTGCTATGATGGCAAAATCAGGTTTGCTCAACTTCAGTGCTATCTCACAGAAAACTCGTGTTTATATATATATATATATATATATATTATATGTGAATGAATTATAACCCTCCTATTCTATAAAAATTGTTGATTTTTTTGTACCCCAGAGTTCCAACTCGTTTTTTTGTACCCCAGCCCTAACACTGGTTTTAATTGTAACTGGCCCATAACACTGGCTTGTAAAACCATATGCTATGAAGACTGTAATTGGCTCTATGTTTGGCAAAACTTCAGGTGCTCAACTTCAGTGCTATCTCACAGAAAACTCGTGTTTTATATATATATATATATATATATTTTATATGTGAATGAATTATAACCCTCCTATTCTATAAAATTGTTGAACTTGTTTATTTTAGTCTTACAATGGCAAGGCTTATTAATGTTATCAGTTGACATCATGGTGGCGTTGTATTTGCTACTCTACTTTTGACAGCCTTCACATGGCCTTGACGTCATACAAGTATACTCTACCAGAACTTTATAACTCTGGGTTTACTTGTTTCCACCAAAATCTATATGTTTCTTCTACATATGAAAATTTAATTGTTACAAATAATCTTGCTCTATCTGTAGTTGGCAGAGACTTGGTGTTCATTTCAGTTCACAGAAATCCACTCCACTTGCCTTGGGGTGCTTAAAGGATAGCTACTTTCTAGTATATACATTTTTGTGAGGATTATGGGCAAAGTGTTACATTAGTCTAATTTCTACATCAAATTTTTTCATTTGCTTGCTTCCTTGCCTTTCCTCTCCGAACAGGTGGTGCAATGTTCGATTGAGATTAAAGAATAACAAATACCTTTGCCCAATTTGACTTTGTTTTGTTTGGAAACTTTTGCCCCCCTAAATGAAGAGCACATCAGTGCTTGTCTTGTAAGAAATTTGCCGACAAAATTTGACTACACTGATGACAAAATCTCAGAATGATTGGGTTCTTTTAGCACAAAGAATCAAAATGAGATTGATAAACCATGAAAGAGAGGAGGCAGTATTGATTTCAGGGGGGAGTGGTTAAGAGAGCATTGTATGTGTTAGATTAACCGAATTCTGTGATGTGAGATGAAACAGAAATGTGATCTAGATGACAGACTGTGTGCTAAAATTGTAACATTAAACAAGTCCATCTCAAATGAGGAAAGTGAGAAGGTTAGTCAATTGAATGTTGTTATCTTATCGGATCAGCTAATAGCTGTTTTTTAATACTCATTATGGGTTTGAGTAGGTACTTCCACAAAGATTTTATTATGCATAATTGTAGTTTTGTAGAACTTTCAAAGTTGTTGAGATTTTCTTAGCTGCTTTCTTAACAAGTTGCTTGAGCCATTTCTATTTATACAATAATCTACTAATGATGGTAGAATCTTCAATTGATTCTGTCTACTGGCATCTTTGACAAATAAAATGCACTATTGACTGTGAGAAGCCAGAGGTTTGCAGCACAAGTTTTTACTGAATAAATTTTTATTATGTTCGTTATAGGCTCTTATTCTCTGTAAACATCATATCGCAGGCCTTTATATTCTTGCTTCTGAGTCTGCGCAAATCCCTTGGTTTGATTCTGTTTTTGCTGACATTGGTGATGAGCAGTCCTTATCCCAGTCCTTGTCTACCTTCTCCGGACATTTGAAACAGATAAGCGTATGTAAAATATGTTTTCCTACAAAATATTTCCCCCCTGCTCCATTTTAAAATATCTTGCCTGACATTTTTTGTTAATCACTGTCAACAATTGATAGTCAGAGCTATAACCTGCTTACACATTCCTGAAGCTATTAAACTGCTTCCAAGAAGAGATTATAGTACAAATGATTGAGACTTTACAATTCCTTGTCTTGAGTTTATTTTATCAATCACAATTATTTGAATGCTGAATCTGATTGCCTTTTGTTCTTGATGGTAATATTCTTGTGCTGAATAGAGTCACCTACCAACTGAAGACTACTATGGAGATTGGGTTGTACAGATTCATATTATTATGGATTTATCAAGTTTTGACATATTAGAACCTATTAATTCTGAAGTTCTATAAAGAGTTATTGCATACTTGCTTTCCTGATATTGTTTTGGTTTGTTACAGTACAAGCCTGTGTGGTCAATGGTTCCTCTCCCATCACTTTACCTTGTATGCTTATGCTACCATCTACCAATGTCTAACTTGTACTTTACGTGGTCTTCTTGTCCACTCCGATAAAATTGCAACTTTAGAAGTTTAAAGAGAAGTCGTTATATATTTGTGTGCATGCGCGCTCTGTACGGATAGTTCAGTTTTTTGCCAGACTTCTAAATCTATACCAGGGACTTTCTGACTGTTTCCAAGCTGTCAGTTGCGTGTATTGAAGTTTAAAATGCAATTTTATTTTCTTAAATCTAAACTTCATGGAAAACCGTAAGGATGATCTTCATTATATTTTGCAGAATATTAAATCATATTCAACACAGCAGTCGCTGGTGCTACTAGACGAGGCATGTGCTAAATGTTCTTGAAAAACAGTTCAATAAATTTGTCATATATGTGCATGATGGATGGTCCTTTTATCACATTTCTTTTAGGTTGGTGCTGGAACAAACCCCCTTGAGGGAGCTGCACTGGGCATGGCATTATTGGAATCTTTTGCCATGGATGGTTCTTCGTTGACAATGGCTACAACTCATCATGGGGAACTGAAAACCCTGAAATACAGGTATTCCATAGAGAGGATGAAGACAAAACTTCAAACTGACATGCTCTATGTAGACAATGGAAGGGTTGGTGAAGATATTGTCAATTATAAAGTTTCTATTAGCTACATTTTTAAGATTACTTGTGAGCAAACCAAATTTAATTGTAATAAAATTTATATTTGCACTTACAGTTTTTGTTTTTTGGGTGAGGATCTTGCAGTATTATAAAATTATAGCTTCATTTTTACTTTCCGATACTTGAGTACATCTTGTCTCAAATCATGATTTCATGAGCAGCAATGAGGTCTTTGAGAATGCGTGTATGGAATTTGATGGAGTGAACCTGAAGCCAACTTACAAGATTCTCTGGGGCGTACCTGGTCAGCACCTTCTTATACATGAATGATGTCATGAAAATTACAAGTCTATTGATGGATGCATGCATTTTTTCTGGATTGTCTATGTTCTTCCTTTGTCATTTTTCTATTTTGCTTTATTCACCTTCCTTTCATTGTTTGTGGGTGTGGTTTTGATCCCCAAAAAGGGCGGAGTAAAAAGGGCCTTGGCCAAGAAAGGACTTTGGTAATGTAGTATCTGGGCGTTATTGAAGATTTCTGTAGGTGTAGTAACATAAAGAAAACAAATAAAGCTTCTGACCTGGAGGTAAAAAGGGGACAGATGAGGTTCCCTCTAGTTCTTACACAAGGAAAAAGATATTATTTTCTTTCCGATGATTGAGCGGGGTGAGATTGCTTAATGTAATCTCTAAATACTGAATAAAATTGTCCTTGTTTCTTACTACGCAAAAGTTTATGGATTTATTTAAAATGATTGCTCTCATGATATGTGCTGGCATTCAACTAATTAAAAAGAGATTTTCTTTGCAGGGCGCTCAAATGCAATTAACATAGCTGAGAGGTTGGGACTTCCGTCTGTTGTTGTAGATGCTGCACGTAATCTGTACGGTGCTGCTAGTGCAGAGATAGATGAGGTACATGCTTAATGTTGTATAACAAGTTCTTTTATTGTACGTATGTTGTAGTTTAATGAAAGGAATACGATTTTCTATGTCCAGTCCCGTGTGTTTTATTTTGAACTTGTTAACTTGTATGCTTTCAGTCTAACTATGTACTCTTGTTTTAATAATGGGACTATGTCAAAAATTATGCTTAAGTAGAAAAGACTTAGAAAATATATATATATATATATATATATTCAATAACGCTTGATTATGGTGATGCTGTTAGTAATTACATAACATTGTCAGTGGCTTCAGTTATCTGCTATCAATAATTACAACTTATTCAATTCAATGGATTTGCAAGGCTTCGGCACCTATTTAATCAATTTTTTTCCTATGCAGGTAATAACTGATATGGAGAAGTTTAAACAAGAATATCAAGAGCTAGTAGACGAAGCACATAACTATCTGAGGTAGGACTCTATTTGCTCTTAAAATGTTCATCAAATTGCATGCTTTAGCCTGACACGTTCATTTCTGGTGCAATTCAAAGAGGGGTTATTCCCCGAGAACTCACGTGGGCAAATGATTAAAACCTTCCAAATAGTTTAGAAAGATTATGCAATAGTTAATAGTGCATCCAAAGATAAAACAATGAATTGTGGACAAGCTTTTATATAATTCTTGTTAAAAATACTCAAAGCATCAACTCGGGTGCCCGAAATACCCGCCTTCTCATTAGGTAAACCACTCTAGGATATTTTTCATTTCTATTTTTACATGTCCAATAATTCAACTCTAACTACCTCCCTGGGCAGTATCATGTGACTCCCCCAAAATGAAAGAATGAGTATGAAGAAGGGGGGAAAGGGGAGAGGGAGAATTTTGTCATGTTACCTGTTCATTATTTGTAGTGTGATGTTCTACACTGGCATAATTACCCACATGAACCAATAGCTAATGCATGCAGACAACAATTACCAAAAATCACCATATTTTTGGAGCATCTGGCAAGAAACTGTTAGATCTTAGCTTATATAATCTCTTTATGATTGTAATTATAGGCAATCTAGGGACCTCTATGATAGTTTGTTGGACTCCAAAATGAAGATCACAGAGTACAGTACTAATCTACGAGCTAGAAAGATGCAAAATGTATCTGAGGCTGCGGCAGTGGCACGGTCTATCCTTCACAAGAGAGTGCGGCAGCTACGTGCGTCTCCAAGACAAGTTTCAAAGCCCAGTAAAGATGATAAGGTCCCTCAATCTTCAGTTACCAATTACCAACATACATCAACAGCTAACAAAGAATCTGCTACTGCGGTTGCAGATGGAAGTGCGGCTGTTGTGAAAAAAGTTAACCAAACATTGTCAGGTATGCGGTAAGAAATAAGACATAGATAAGAGGAATTGGAACTCTGGTAGTGTATCATTTGGTCAAATTTAATTCCTTGCAGTTGGGAAATTCTCGTTTATGCTGTCTTAGCGATAGCACATGTTTGCCTTAGAAACAAATATTTCCTGTGACTAGTTACTCTATTGCCATCCACCTCTTAATGATGCAGAGGAGTCTAGGCTTCCCAAGGTTGGTGATGCAGTGCATGTATCTTCTATTGGAAAGAAAGTAACAGTTTTAAAAGTAGATTCATCAACAGAAGAAATTGTTGTTCAAGCTGGAAAAATGAAGTTGAAGCTGAAGTTAAAAGACATTCAAAGATGATTGCCAATCATTTGAGAGAGTGCAAGTATTATCTTGGTTAAAGGTTTTGATTATGCGTGCACGGGATCATATAATGTGATCTCCTTGTTACCAATCCCGGAGGTAAGCATGCACCATGGGAGCTAGTTTTCTAGATAGGAATCTAAAGTATGTCAGTTGTTCCGACCCAAAAAATAATAGTAATAATAAAAAGGAAAGTATGTTCAGTTGTTTACTTATTCTACCTACGTCGGTATATTTGTGTTTTCCCTAATTTTATACAGTCCTTCGTCCTCTCCTTTCTTTATGAAACTTTTGCGGGATCTTTCTGACTTTTTTTACTCCATCAGAAGTCAAAGCTCATCTGAAAACTGCCACCTTCTGATTTTTAACGAGATAAAAATGATGACAGGTAATCTTCAGAAAGTTTGGCAAGATGAATTAAGGGGTAGTGTTTCCATGCCATCACCAATATTAATCAGTTTGCTAAGATGGTGCGAGGCATGCTTTTTGTGCGGTATATATATTATGTGCGCTGGATCAATGCCAACAACTCAAAAGAAATCTTCCAATTGGCCTTGGGAAATCTTCCTGTCAGAATGGATTGGAGCCGTTGAATCTTTAACTTTTTTCCGGCTGCTATCGTTGCTTGCCGAAGCGCACTTGACAAGAATCTGCAATTGGGGTCACTTAGAAGATAGAAGTGCTTTGTTGTGTTGGCCCAAAAAGAGAAGTGAAAATTAATCCAGAATGTTATGGGCATGAGCACTTTATTTGTCTTCCCTGTTTTATTAGTGGAACTGGTGGTATAATCCCCCGCTATTCGCCAAGTCAATAAACGGAGGAGCTTTTCATGTGGAACATCGCTTTACAGGGGTTTGATTTGTAACTGAGCTAATATTTTATTTTTTTCTGGGCTGATTTATGTTTCAGAAGATGTATTCTATTTTTCTTGCTGTTCTGCTTTTTTCTTGACTTTTCTTCTCTTTTCTATTTGCGTGCCTTCATTTGTTAGATCTTTCGTGACAAAGTGGTTTGAACATTTTTTTCACCTTTCATATGTATTTTGAGATTGATATATACTTTGATTTATTAATTCATGAAATCAACATCTTAATCACTTAATGTGCGTTTGGTATAGGAAAAAGTTGAATTTTTTAAAAAGTAAACTTCATCTTCTTCTTCTTCTTTTGTGGAAATCGGTTTCCCTTGCCCTCGTTCTTTTTCATTAGTAGTCCTTTTTCCTGGCCAGGCGTTTCGTAAGTAGATTGGTAAGTAGAATTTTGATTGGGATATTATTTTGATTCTTCGCAAGTTTCTTAAATTATCTTTTGAACTGCGTTTGTAATTTTGCTTTATATTTATATCCTACCGTCTTTACTAAAAAAATATAATAAAAAAGAAATATGGCATTGTATTTAACAATTTATTACGTTTCATGATGGAATTCTATACTATTTGTTAGGCATTGAAATTAACAAACAGCTTCCAATTAACAATACAAAGTAAATTGAAGTACGCACATGTAGCATTCATGGCATTAAGGATAATGTTTCAGGATGGCATTTAATATTTGTTTTTACTTAGACGTTTCCTTTTGTTTTTTAGCCATCGGTTTCAGACGGTACTTAAACTTCGCTTTCTACGAAAGAAATCTACACGATTTCGGAGAGAATAGAGAATCACCTTAAATTTTAAAAATGGTACTAGTTAAGGGCTACACTTTTTAACTGAATTTTTAAAAAATGTCACGGACCGAATCGGTTTTGATGAAGTGTTCAATGGTTAACACCTAACAACATTTCAATCAATTTTTTATTATAATTGCAGCGAACAACACAAAGTCAACTGAAGTACCGAAAAAAAGTACCGACGTGTATTGTGGCATTCATTGGAAGACAACGTCTGACGATAGCATTTCTAAAAGTAAAAACTCGGCTCTCTCAGCTTGTAGATTTGCATGCTACTCCATCCACTTTGCCCATTTTATAAGATATTTTCAGAAATAATTTAATATTTTAAAATATAAAATATTTAAAAAAAAATAAAATTTTATTAAATATACTTGTTTTAATATCATCGTTATCTTTTTGTTGTACTTTTTTCATTATTTACGGTTTCATAAGTAAAATTTTATTAAGTAAAGTATATTTTTAGCAATTTGTATTTGTGTTTTTTTAAAAAAATTGTATAATATATTTAATAAATTTTATTCATATACATAATTTTGTTAAAAATTGTCTTATAAACTACGGAACGGAGTTAACATGAAATAAAGCAAGCGCATACTATATATATATATATATTTAAAAAACGACATATTGGTTATCTTCGAGAGAAAAACCAGTGGCAGCGACATTCATGGGTTTCGAAACAGGAAAAAAGAAGGAAAAAAGAAAAGAAACATGCAAGGTGAACAAGCCTGACCTCAGCACCATCAGCTGCAACATTAAGGGAGAATGGCGAGGGCGCTACTCTCCGCGTCATTTCTTCTGTCTCATTCTCTTTCACCCCTATCTTGTTGGCGACAAGGCCCATGTGGGTGCAAAACCTAAATCACTCCAATTATCTAAGAACACAATCAAGCACTAAAATATTATACCATTCAGTGGATTACGTCTAGCTAGCTGATATGTGATTCAATTCAACATGGATTGAATTCGAATCACCGTCTGTTATGTTGAAGCCTTACACATACCCATCTCCTATTATATATGCTTCCCTATTTTATTAATATCACTGCTACATATACTACGTGCTTTTGAGAGACTCTAGTTCTAATTTGAGATTCCCGCGGCAGCTTCCTCATCCCTACGATTTTGATCAGGTTCAATGGCAGACACGGCAGCCCAGCCATGCTCAAACGTGAGATCCAAGAAATAGAGCATGAAAACGAGGACGAAGCAAGAGATGAACATGGGAATGGGTCCAAAAAGCCACAGAAACATCGGAAAAGAGAAGTAAAAGGCACGCAAACCCAGAGACCAAAAATAGCTTCCTCTGTTAACGGTGGTGGCGACGTAGTCTGACGTGAGGATCTGGTGCCGAATATTCGGGCACACCTTCTTGAATGGAACGTTGATGAGGATGCTCGCGTGGCTGTAGTACCTTATGGACTGAACATTCATCAGAAAGGCCACCATGAAGCATACCAATATCGCGAAGAACTTTATCGTCAGACACAGGTCGCTTCTGTCCCCGTACACCACCATCACTTTCCTCTCCTCTTCCCCACTATGGCTCATCAAGACGGCGATGAGCGAACTCAGCATTATCGCCATCGATGCTACAAGAGTCGACGCCATTATGTTGTTCCTCAGAGATTGAACAGCTAGAACTCCATTCCTCGACACGTCCTGCGTATCGCGAAATCCAAGATTCAGAACCAGAAATGGGGGGAGAAAAATATGAAATCTAAAATGAATCAGAAACTAATTAAGAAATACTGGTAATCGATATTGACACGAACACCGGACGCTACATATATAGCAAAGAACGCTCTAATATATGACACGATACCTCCATCATTGCTTGAACCCAGAAACGGCGATTGATGGCATTGACGCCGACAACGGTCTTAGTGGGATTGTTGATGATTCGAAGGAGGAGCCAGAGGTGGTAGGACAGCAGGACCAGTAAACCGGAAGGGACGAGAATGACATCGAGTATTTTCTTCTCCATCTCTCTGTTGGTATGTGTTTATTGATTATAGCCTTTAGGCTATACCGTGAAGGAGGAAGGCGAGCGAAACTAATGGGAGAGTGAAGGAGAGTCGGCCGAGTGTTGCCGCGTGTGACAATGCAGTGAGGAGAATGTGAAAGCATTTATTTATGGCAGCGCCGATCCCACCAAACCCCCGCATCTGACTATGTAATTTTTTAAATTAGAAGTCCCCGCAAGAAATGGAGGAAAGGTTTGGTCATTTATTTAAATGGGATCCAAGTGTATTCATGGATCCAAAGTCTGACTGCACTAATGGCTTTTACTTGGATCCAAAGTCTGCTACCTTTTCATGCAAAATTTGAAGCCTTGATCACCGTTGTCCCACTTTCATGTGAGTGACCTGGTCACTTCCTCTGGTGGATGGAACAGAGGAATAGCTCCTCCGTTCTGGGTTAGATGATGCTGTTGTTTGCAGAATCGCCATAATTAATCCCCCAAAATTTCATTAATTTTGAGAAATTTTAGGTGAGTTTCTTTTAAATTGTAAAACAAATCCTCAAACACCATCCAGTCACGAAGAGAGGGATGCAAGAAATACGACTATATGAGCTAGGTTTATAATTTTACTTTTTTTTCCTTGACATCTCTTCAATTGCATTACTAAGGTTAATCTTATCAAGTTAAAAGGATTCAAACAGAAGACAGATCATACGCAGTCTATTGTATTAGAAAATCATTGTATGGGTATAAACTGCTTATTTAGCTGAACTTCATTTAACGTTTAAAAGATATACAAGCATTCATCACGTCTTTCATCTTTTGGCATTTTAGATTAATGGAGATATCCAAGTCTTTAAACTTTTCCTATAATAAATCTTTCTTTTTATTTTCCTCCACCGGACAGCGCCTCAAAAGCACCTATAGAACTCTGCCATTACCCCGACACCTATGCATAGCAGCATTAGATTCAAAGAAAAAGCATACCAAGCTTAATTAAAAAATGTTCAAGATTACAAATGAGTTGATATCATTAAAAGGAAAATAAATAAATAAACTTAATTTCCAGCTTTGAGAATTTAAGACCGTTTGCAAGTGACTGACTTCAAAGGAGATTTGTGCATTTTTCTCCGTGATTCTTTTTTCTACTCATGCATGTCAAATTCCCACATAGTTCAGGGAAGCTGAATTACATGTGAATGGAGGGAACTGTAGGCATCTAAAAACTAGCGTCGTAATCCTATCCTATACCACTGGAACATCTACACCAAAATCCTCAATTCTGAATGAATAGGCAATTTGAGATCAACATCAACTTTCTTATGGAAACTCCATTAGGAAGGAGATAGGCAGCCAAGCATTTAATGCTCCAAAAGTTTGATTTTTTCAAGATAGTTATGCATGCGCTGGGTATCATCAGTTGAGAGACGATCTCCCACCTTAAATTTGTACTGCTCAAACTTCAATTCCTCACACTTTAAGGCAGCAGTTCTACAAGCTTTTATACTACCTGGGACAAAAGTCAACTTCATGTCATCAGCAATTGGAGTGGTTATAATGGTAGGTGAAACTGCAGTCATCACATGTTATTTTGTCAAACTTAACTAATAACTAATCAACAAGTATTAATAGGAACGGATACGCTGCAATACCGGAATGCATACAGCATACAGCAAACTTACCAGACAGGTCCAACATGTTGAAAGTCACTGGGTAGTTCCCAATGCTTCTGATCATTGTAATAGCAGACCAAACTTTTTGATATTCTTCTCTTGAGACTCTAATGATGACTGTATTGGTGATTGGATTGACATGCTTGACTACAAACACAAAAAGTACAATTATTATTTGGAAAAACAACTAGCTAAACTTACAGACTAAAGGCAAATCTTATAAGAACTACAAACAATCAGTGATTTGTAACTAACCAAGGAATGATCCCACTGACGAAGCCAAACCACACTCCCCAAAGTTTAGCAGGATGCTTTCTTTTATTGCTTTCGACACATTAAATTGGGTAATTATAATAGAATCATTACCCGCATGGTCTCTGTTAGGATCCAAAAAGACCTCCATTACCATGTACCTATTTTTAAATCCCACCATGATCCTCCTTTACCTAGTGTAGAACACTCACCAGGCAGATCCGCTCCCTGTAAGGCTGTAAGCATCAATCACGAGGATCAAGCCGCTTGAATATTACATGAATGCACATCGAAAAAAGTTACTCTAGATCTTATGAACCAAAAAGTCATAGTTAAAATCAAACGGAATTGTGAATTCACACAATCATTTTTCATCGCTAATTGAAACTTGATTGCCAAATTATCAAAGACACATTTACAGCTTAATTACTCTTCAACAAATGTGAGGAATTCATAGCTTGACATTGGGAGGGGCAATTGAGAACGTTTCTATCTTAGTAAGATAATAATCAAACATTTAGAGGGAACCTTACCAATAAAAATACCAAAAATTAAGATAATTTACAACACGACAAGGATAGCAGGAACCAATTCACAGAATTCAGAACAGACTCTCCTAAAATCTTTATATTTATGTACCTAGAATAAGAGATTAGGATTTTACGAACACCACATGAGTAACTGTCCATCCTATAGTATATCCATAGGATTTAAGGGTGAATACTTTTCATACCCCATATCGCCAACTCTACAGATATTTGCGACTTCCACCAGAAGAACCCAAGCGAGGGAAGACGTCTTGAGAGAATCGCAGTCCTCACGCCAATCCTGCGATGTTGGAGTTTTCCACGAGCAACGGCAAGAGCGCGGCAGATCCTCCGTTTTGGGTTCACAATTCGACCGCACCCGTAGCCAGTTTGGTACTGGAGAGGACTCTCACAGAATCTTGCATAATTTTTATTTAATATATGTATTATTAATATCAAATGACACAGATACCCTTCATTAAAAAAAATCCCCTCAGTTTCACATTCATCGTCGAAAACACCGGCAGCAACGAGATTAGCGTAAATCGTGAGATCTACATGAACAAAAGGAAAAATCGAAAGCAATACAAAAACGGACAGCAAAGTCATAAAACGTACTCCGTTAAGCTAAGAAAAGTTTTTAGAATGGTGAGGCTTCCAACCAAGCTAAGCAAAAGTTTTCTATTTCCCTAAAGAGTAATTGAAAAAATGCCACTTACAAACGGAGGAACGGGAGATCTAAGCACCTAGCTGCCTAAGCCACGAATGGAGAACGCAGGAAGGCGAGATACGAACGGGAGATCTGAACATCGGAGGCTAAGATACGGCAACGAGAGTCGACACTCGAGGGGCAATAAGCTTGACTAAGGCACTAAGCGATGCGAGAAGGCGAGAATGCGAACAGCCGAGCGCGAGTGCCGCTGTGAGAGACAATCGGCAGTGAGCAACGAGCGTGAGGGAAAGTTGGAGCAACGGCGTATGCGATTGCGACTCTTGAGTGTGAGGTTGAGCGTTGAGTGTGAGGTCGACTGGAGTGGAGCGGCGGCGCCGTGAGTGTCGTAGGGTTGAGTCGAGTGAAGCCGAAAAGGTCCAGGGCTATGAAAGTAAATATATACAAGTTAAATATAAAACCAAATTAAATCATTGTATAATACGATATTATAATTATAATAAATTAAATTGATCAGTAAGTAGATAAAAATAAAATTTTATTAATAAAATTTTATAATATTATCCTCCAATCATAAAATTAAAATAATATTATAATATCATAATTAAGTGTGTAGAAATAATTTAAAAAAACATTACTGTAATCCTATCAGTTTTGATTTCTATATATATTTTTTTATATTTTAATTTTTTAATATTTTAAATTCTTTAAAATTCCTACATTTTATTTAATTAAAAATTAAAAACATTAAAAAATAAAAATATAAAAATTTATTATATTAAAAAAATATAAAAATTTATAATAAAATATGAGTAAAATATAAAAATATAAAATTATATTTTTTAAAAGAAAATTTATAATTTTATTTTTTAAAAATAAATTTAAAAGATATCAATATGTGTATGTGTGAATTGTAAATTGTTTCTTCGAGATGGAGGAAGTAGTTTTAAGAAAATAAACTGGCCTCCAGGCCAACCTTCAAAAAACAGGCCTAGCCCATCTATCTATTTAAACTAAAAAAGCTCGAGGCTAGGGTTTTTACTGTAGCTTTCGAAGGTCTCCGGAAATTGCCTTTTGGTGCGATGCGAAGGGAGACGTTATACTTGGCGGTAGCTCCGAGAGCGGTTGGACGGACAACGCAAATATGGAGTAAGGGCGGAGCAGTACGAAGAAGAGCCGTGGTGGTCGGCGTTGTGTACGTGGTGGTGATTGGTGAGGGGAGAGCTGCAGTGACAATTACTGGGTAATTTAGCAAAATTGGATTTCTTGAGAATCTGTCTTGATTCCGATTCCGTTTCGTTTCTCTGGGGCAAATGCTAGTGTGGCAAACACAGCCCTAGGAAATGAGATCCCCTTTAGAATGGATGGGCCGTTTACTGGTTATGGGCTTGGTCCAGTAATTCAAAGGACAGAATAAGAAGTAAGGCACAGAGACCCAATGAAGATTCAACCAGGACAAAGAAACGAAAAACCAACGAAGATAAGGTCTATTGACTTTGAGTCAAAGGCGATAGTCATTGGGACCGATAATGCCGCTTGTTATTACACGTGTCAAGTGATAATGGGGTGATAAAAATCTAAGCGGCTTGCCCTGTTTATCTCTAGCGTCACTGAATCGTTAAACAAGTGGGAAAGCTAGTGGAGACAGAGAGCAGAAGGACCGTTTACCCAAGGACCGTTGGGGACACGTGACAAACAAGGTACAAAAACAAGGGATGGACAGGTTCAGAGACTCCGTTACGATCGTTGGATCCGCTAGTTTATCCAAAATTGTAGGTGAAGTGGCCACCTGATTCAAATACACGATTTCGAGGAAAATTACGATTCGCCCACCATTTGACTCAAATTTCACATGAATTTCATTTGCATTTCGCTGTGTCTCCGGGGGCGTCAACCCCATTGTAGCCATCCGCTACTGTAGCGCCTTTTTTCTATAAATACCAAAGCCATTGCACTGGTTTGCTTGTTTATTTTCATTTTGTGTAAGGCGAGGTGCTGCGTGGAGAGTGGGTGTGAGATAGGGAGAGAAATATTAGTTTTTGTATATATTTGGTGTTTCTTTCTCATTTTGTAGGTGTTTTAGGGGTGCGGAGGTGCGGAGGCGGACTCGGCAGCTTGACTTTGTTGAAGAGCTTGTGAGTAATCTTCCTTCATTTTATCTTCTGGCGTTGGTTGGTTCTTTGTTGCCATTCCTAGATTCACCTGCTGTTCCCGTGCGTGTGTATGTGGTGGTGTAATTTCTAGTTACGCCCGTGAGCGATCATAATTTTTTATGTTTGTGTTTCTTCGGTTCTTTTATGGAGATTATCGATCCAAATTTGTCTTTTAAAAGAGGTTTGGGGTTTCTTTAGCCCCTTGAGAGGGGCCGGGAGCACTGATTTCCTGTAGGTTTTGTATGTGATAAACCTTCAAGGTGGTTATGAATAGGTAATTGTTCACGGAGCTCGTGTTTATTGTGTCGTCTCTTGGAACTCTTGGATGGATGAGATTTATATCTGCCACATGTGGTCGTTTGTTTTCTCGCGGAACAAGCGTTAATTGTTTTATGATCCTGGAGACTGTCTAAACTCAGTGCGAGTTGTCTAGTGAAGATATTATGTAAGGGAGGGCACTATTGTTGGCTTTGTTTCTCGTTATCTACGGATGATACATTCAAGGATTAAAATCTATTTTACGACAGGGTCTCTCATGTAGCAGATAGTTGACAGTTTTTTTTCTTAGCGTATTTAAAAGTAGAGTGCCGAACATTTTCTGAATGACAATATATATTAATTCAGACCCCCTTTCTCTCTTTAGAGGCAAGAAAGTCAATTTCTGTTGAGTCTGACTGAATTCTCTGTTGTGATGGGACGTGCAGAAAATTCAGGCAAGGCCTTGAAGTCGAAGAGTGTTAGAATCTTAGAAGTTTCTGTTTCAACAGAGGGAATGGAGGTATATGGCAAATCTATGGTTGCAGGTCCTGCAAATGTTGTTTATCTGTCGAGTATTTTGGGCCGAGATGGGCCCATTCCTGGTCACAAATGCGACTGGAAATGTGAAAATGAACATGTTTGTGGAAACATGTATCGCTGCAAGCTAACAGGGCTGACTCACATATGTGATAAGAACTGCAATCAGAGAATTTTATATGATAACCATAGCTCTCTTTGCCGAGCAAGTGGTAAAATTTTCCCTCTTACAACAGCAGAGGAACAAGCAGTGAGAGGTGTCAGAAGAAAGCTTGACATGGAGAATTCACCCTCAGACAGCTGTGGTGGTTTTAAGCGTAGACGGGATGCACAAATTCATCCTTCTCCTTTTGAGAGATCTTTCTCTGCTGTCAGTCCTATCTGTAGCCAAGTTGGAGATGGCATGGATATGAGCTAGATTTTTATTATACAACTCAAAAAGACTCTTAATAATTTCTTGTCCTTTTGGACATTTTTCCTTTTTCTATTGGACAAGTTACAGAACTTGATCTATTGTGGACTACTTATTGCTGGACCTTACATGTCCGTCTCTTGTAGGAACTCCTATATTTCTAGTATTTATGTAATGTAGTGCTTGAAGTAGCTTGACTGTTGGATGGCAAGTTTATGGGACTTGAATTGACATCAGTCTCTTGTTAACCTTATTGAGAGGCAGACTGCTATAGCTAGCTACAGCTACATGATGCATTCTGTCCTTTATGATGCTTGATTATGATTATGACCCACACTATTGTAGTATATATGAGCAATCTGTAACCCTTTTCTAGCGTACTCTGAAGTTTATACGATAGTTAATCTGTGATAGCAGGAAAGCCCTATTGTAGTATTTGTGTGATGGTAATTTGCACCTTCCTGTTAGGACTTGTATTCTTTCACCGCTTCTGTTTCCCCGAGTTAATCTAAACTAACAGGTGACTGTTGTCAATCTTGTCACTTCCAGTCTGATCTCTTTATTCAGGGTTTGTTGTTAACCTTCTACTTCTGTAAGCTCAGGGTTCTCTCTGGTTCTTCATATGAACAAGATCTTTGCCATGTTATCTGGTGAAAGGTTTAGTAGTTCAGATTTGCATCTGTATTGATTATCGCTCTAGCTCATTCTTTCGATGATTTGATTGATAACTAGCTGTCTGAGGTTAATGTAACTTGTGCAGGTTTTGAAGTGAAAGCTACCAAGGGCCCTTGAAAACACTTGTTTGCAATATTGAATAAATTATTGTGAAATCGATATGCTGTTCTAGATGATGAAGAAGTGATATGCGTTTCTTGTTTTCTCGATGCAGGATGCCTCTGCTGAAGAGTGGAGACGACGTTTTCAGATCTGGAAACATTGTCTAGAGTGAAGGTGATCTGACATGATGTTAAAAGAGTTGGAATTGACAATTCCAAAGGTGTTTATAAGATCATGGTTATCTCATCCGGAAACAATGTCAAGAGCGAAGGTGATCTGACATGATGTCAAAAGAGTTGGAATTGACAATTCTGAGATCACGGTTAGCTGCATCTGGAAACAATCTCAAGTGTGAAGGTGATCTGACATGATGTTTATAAGATCAAGACGATGATTCAAACAGGATTCTGAAAGCTGAAAAGGCAGGATACTGAATCCAACTTCGAAACAGAGGACCTCATTGATATATTCCATTACACGCCCCTTCAGACGGTGGCTTTGAGCTAACGAGGACTGGGCCGGATCAATTCTTAGAATTACCATGGGTCTGTCAAACCTGCATGTTATCTCCTTGTTTTTTTGGATTGAAATTGATTTTCTCCTCGCATGTCATTTTTTCCTACCTGCTCAATTTACCTGACAAACAACATTCGGCTTTTGGAGGAGAGATTAATGACTACCCTCCGGTCGCTCTGTTCATTTATTGGGACTCTCAGAGAATCATCTTTTGAGACAGGCTTAATTTGAATAGTTTAGATTTAATTTGTACAGTTTTAATTTAATATTTTTATTTTTATTTTTAAAATAAAATATGTATAAAAATTGCAACAAAAATTTAATAGATATATTTATCAATTTGGCAGTTCAGATTTAACATAAATGGTTTAAATTTAATATTAAAATTTTTAATAAATTTACTGTTTTATTTAAAATATATTTATACTATTCAGAATATACTTGAAAAGTTAATTTAAATTTTTTATATTAAATTTAAATTATTTATATTAAGTCTGGATTGTTGAATTGATAATGTATATTTATTAAAAAAATTATAATTTTTATACATTTTTTATTTTAAAACAATTTAAATTTTTTTCTTTTACCTTAAAAAGAGAGATTGAAGAGGTTTTCTCTGAAAGAAGTCGATTCTTGTTTAGTACTAGACAAATGTGGGTTTGTATGCCTCGTTCTCGATTCTCAAGATTTTTAAACATGCATAGTCTGTCAGCTTTTAGCATTGAGTATACATTAATGATTATATATTAAAGAGTTAAAGGTAAATTATATCTCCAAATTTGTCACGAAGAGGTTGCAAATATTTTTAAATTTAATTATGTGTCGTTTGTAAATTTTTAAATTTATCATCTTATCATTTGTATTATGAATTTTTTCCATTACTTGGATCCATTTTTAAATTTTTAAATATTTTTTAATATTAAATATTGCATTATGAGTCCCATCAATATATTTTTATATTTTTAATATTTTAAAAAATCTCTCTCTTCTCCACCTCCTCTCTCCCCCCTTAATTGACCAACAAGGATCTCACACAGCCGTTGTGTTTAGAGTATCCTCAGCCTCATTGGTGCCTCCCTTCCCCTTCCTCGTACTCCTTCAACCCCACTGCCACCTCCTCCTTTTCTTTCACCATCGCACCTTCATTCAAAACCAGAATGAGCCCTCCTCCACTACCTCCTTCCTTTCTTCCACCTCTCCGAGCTCCAACTCAACTTTGATTTCGACTTTGATCGCCTCTCTGCCCTCCACTTAGAACATGCCACCCTAAGATCAGCCTAACTTTTCTTCATGCAGGCTTGCATCACATATAGACGAGCCACCCTAAGATTAGCCAAACCGAGCATGAAACAAATGGCATTCGTTGATTGTGATCATGAAACAGAGCATGGTCCACTGTTTTATGATCGTGAGGATCCGTTGATTGCAATCTTGGGATACAAATGGCATTCTCTGGTACAGATAAATACCATGTGCTTTGAGAGCTTTTGACGCTGATGAATACGGACATGGGTGAAAGGATCACCTATGACTTGGCCTTCTTCGTCAACGGCAAGGCAATCAGAAGAGGACGAGGGGGAGAGAGAGGAGTGAGGAAGAGAGATAAAGTGGAGGAGAGAGAATGTTTTTTATTTAAAAAAATTAAACAAATGTAGGACCCGTAAATGATCGTTTAGTAATTTTAACGTCAGGGTGAAGAGATAACAAATTTGATATGTTGAGAGAAATAAATGATTTACGGTTAATTTTATGGTCATTTGTAATTTTGTATATACATTTTAAGAATATTTTGTACCCTCAACTTTATATTAAATTATGATATCTATTATTTATCCTTATTTTTACTACTTTGTTTGGGGATTGCAAGTATCATCAAAATTCATTGTGCTCCGGCCCAAGGCCTTGCCTTCTAAATACATTTTTATTTGGCTGAATGAATTTTCCCCTTTTGCCAAAAAGAAGAAATTCATCGTTCTTCCTCCTTCGCAAAACGATGCATTTTGATGCAACTTTGGCTCTACTTTACTCATCATATCTTATGTTTAATGGGAAAGATGGCCTCCCACAAGTGATGTTTCCCCCAGAAATAGGGATAGATATTTTATTGGGAGAATAATTCTAAGTGGGAAGCAGAAATAGGGATAGATATTTTATTGGGAGAATAATTCTAGGATCCCAAGCAAGGATTGTAAATAAGACCATTGACAATTGATGACCTCCTTCCGGCCCACTCTCATGTTAATTGTGAGGGATGAAAGATTTGAATTTATAAGTACAAAAGAAAGACTATGGTTTTGCCAAGTTTCAATGTGGCAAAATTTACCGGATTTGTAATCTATTTTCTGTCAACAATTAACTTCAACAGATTCAAGACTTTTAGCATGTCTTATATTCGTTTAATACTTTCATGGATTATCAACAACAATCTCTCAATCTCCTCCAAACCTTGTGCTTTTTATATAATGTGTCATAATCAGAGGCCTCTGTCGGCTTTTTAGCAAAGATTTTTTATCTCATGTATCCTTATTTATGATATAGATTCCTTAATTTCTTGCTTTTCTTTCATTTCCTTTGTTATTAATACATTTAAGCTCTCTCGTCTAAGTTTAGTTTAGAGACCTATACCATTGTAATTTTTTTTTTTTATCTTTTGAATATATTTGATCTCTTTATCCAAAAAGCAAGGATTGCAATTGTAAATATTATCAAGTGCCGTGAAATTGTTAAAATATTACGAGTCTCAAGGTTTGTCAAAGTAAATAATTTTTTTAATTACTAAATTACCCACGACTCCCCAGACAAAAGCCTCTCGTCTTCTCGATCGATCTGAACTCTGAATCTTTCTCCTCTCTCGACAGATCTACCGTTCAAGGTGGTGGAGCTTCTCAAGTCTCAAGATCTCACTCATGTGAAGCTCTATGACACTGACTGATGCCGATGTCCTTGCCACCGGCTAAGGCGGTGAACGTGTTTCCTCTCTCCTTCCTTCACACCCCACCGCGCAACCAGGCTTCACAATCGCCTCTTTCTTTCTTCTCACTCATCATCCCTCGCTTCCCTAAATTAAAACATTCAGAATTCCCAATACGAGACCCCGCGCTGTGGTCTGTCATGCATGGGCTTAACAAGAATATGGATTGGGTTTTGGATTACCAACTGGTGGGCCAGATGTTGGAGTCAAGTAGTACGGGTTTAGTGGAAGGAAGTTTAGCGTATAAGAAGTGGCTAGGCAACTATGACAAGCATTACTAGAAATTTGCAGCTGATTTCCACTCTGTTCGTTCTTCTTCTTTCTATGTTTCTTCCTTCTGCTGTACTCTACTTCCCTTCTTACTAATAATTTCTTTCACTTTCCTTGATATTCTTATGTCAATGATTGAGTTGGCTATCTATATGTACTGGTTCTTGAAAATTTAAGGCAATACTACGTGAGTACCTTGGTCCAGAATATTTTTGTGTTCCTTTAATTGCTTAACAGGTTTGGTGATTGTGACAGTCTTTTTTTTTTTTATGTTATATGTCTTTGTTTGTTGGAAGGGTGGGGGTGTGGGTTGGTTGCTAATTAAATTAAAAAAAGGGGACAATGTCATGACTCTGAGAAGAAGGAAAGAGTGAAGCAGAGGCGGTGAAGGAGAAGAGGACAGCGATAGACCTTGGGAGTGATGGGCACTGCAGGGATTGAGCATTAAAAATTGTTTACATTGACATGTCTTGGGACTCCAGAGTATTTTGACAATGAACTTGAGAGTATTTACAATCCTTGCCTGGTGCTCTGGAATAATTCTCCCTTTTTTTTTTATTAGTGTACGACAGTATTTAATCAATAAAATAATTAATTATGATTGATTCCGTTAGTAATTGATTAGTCCCTAATGAATCAGATGAGGAAATACCCTAACCCTCTTCTGACTTTGAGATAGTCTAGGCAATTATTTTAAAACAATCTTATGCAGAGATATCATCATGATGAAGCATCCTTTTTTTTTTTTTTGAGCTTTTAGAAATATTTTTCTTTTACTATTGGATACACGAGTCTCATCTCTTAGCGTTAGATCTTTACACTCTTAAAGCAATCTTTGTAATGTACAGTACTATAGTCTTTTTCTAAAATAAATTCACATCACGCAATCTCTTGTTGGCTTAAAATCTACACTCTTCTCTTCAAAATTAAAAATATGTCCACTATTCTCGTATGTAAGAAAATGAGTTTCACTATGTATATTCTAAGCGATATATTTTTATAATTGTTGTTTGTAAGATATAATAAATATTAAATTTTCATTTTAAAATATAAAAAGCATATTTTAAATTTAAAATAAGCCACTATAATTATCAACTTAAAATAAATTTATTAAAATAAAGTCTTAAAAAAATTAAAATCACGTTTAAAATGGTTGCATGAAAATATCCGAGATGCCCGACACGCTCCTTTGGAGCGAAGTCACGACTCTCTCTCTCTCTCTCTCTCTCTCTCTCTCTCTCGGCCAACAGAAGTCACGACTCAAAGTTACGGATTTCCCAATTTGTACAATATCCCATGCAACAGCAAAAGCAAAGAATTGCTTTTTGAAGAGAAAATTGACGGTAAAAGAAATGCTAAAACCATAAAAGTAGTTTTGCTTGCGCCTGGGATTTTCGGGAAAGCGACTTCATGCTTTGTTAATGCAAATGATGCATTACGCACAGAGACACATATACCAAGCTCGCACCACAAGCAGATCCCTCCTATTTGCCATTCCCATTCAATCAAAATGCCATTCTGGAAGCTCCCCACTTTCCTCCTCCTCCTCCTCTTCTCATTCTCAACCTGTTCATACTGCATCACATTCACCATCACCAACAACTGCACCACCACCATATGGCCCGCCACGCTGTCCGGGTCGGGGTCGGCGGAACTTTCGCCGACAGGGTTCCGGCTGGAGGCGGGGCGAAGTGTGCAGCTGACGAGCGGGCCAAAATGGTCGGGGAGGATATGGGGAAGGACTGGTTGTAAGTTTGATGGGAATGGAAACGGAAAGTGTCAAACGGGTGATTGCGGGGGGAAGCTGGAATGTGAAGGGAATGGAGCAGCTCCTCCTGTGTCGTTGTTCGAGATCACACTCGGCGGTGGCTCCGACCAAGACTTCTACGATGTCAGCCTCGTCGATGGCTACAATCTCCCAATGCTGGCCGTCCCAGCAGGGGTGTATGGTGCCTCTGCGTGTAATTCCACCGGTTGTATTTCTAATCTCAACAGAGGTAATTAATAGCACGGCAGGTTGTGTCATATTGTGCATGGAACCCTTCAAGCTCAATTGTTAATTATTAATGAAAACATGCAGGTTGCCCCGGGGAACTTCAAGTGACCAGTGGGAATGGGAACCAAGGAAGTGGGGGCGTGGTTGGCTGCAGGAGCGCTTGCGAGGCATTTGGATCGGACCAGTACTGCTGCAGCGGACAATATGCCAACCCAACCACGTGCCATCCCTCCTATTACTCCACCATTTTCAAGAAGGCGTGTCCCAGGGCTTACAGCTATGCTTACGATGATACCACCAGCACTTTCACTTGCAAAGCCAACGGATATCACATCTTTTTCTGCCCCTCCGCCGCCAGGTACTTTCTCCCTCTATACTTTCCCATGAACATGCAATACCTTTTAAGCCCCCATGCTGACATGTGGCATCACGATTCAGGATTAGAAAATCAACTAATAAACGCAACGGGAAGGCTCAGCAAGTCGGTTCCTCAAATGCTCTCTTCCCCTATTCAAGGCCAATCTCCCTCTCTGTTGCTGCTCTTACCTTCTGGGCTTCTGGAGCAACATGGTCTTTAATATGAATGAAACAATGTCCTCGCGGATTCCTCCCAGCTGAGTATCATCCTGAGAGAATTGCACGAGCATTCCGAGTTATAAATTACTCTTCCATTTCTTCAGTAGACTGCCAACTGTATAAAAGCACATAGCCGCAACCCTATCCTAAGCACTCTCAAGTGTAGTTGTAATGCAGGAAGAAATTCTTTTAAAGTCGTCATTTCTAACGTGACCTGGAATGTGAGGATTATTCTCCCACATTCTATCTTCCACAACCAGTTCTGGATAAATTTAATGAATAATAGCCGAATAATTTGAATCAAAGATAACAATATTCATTGAAAAATGAAAACCAAAACAAAAATCGAATTCTGGAATACAGACTCAAACACAAATATATTAAGAACGGCCTCTTTAGAAATCCAATGGCACATCTATATTTTCACCTCCACCAGTCGTCAACACTTGAGTCCAGCGTCGTCAACCCAACTCTAAGGCTGAGAATAACCATTCCTGGCGTATACAAGAAATTATGAAAAACTCATTTTTTGGCCTTTGGTTTCTTGGAACCTTGAGCTTTTTTTCTCGTTTTCTTTGGTGCTGGTGGTTTTCCACCTGCACCCCTACCTCTTTTCTTTGCAGCACCCTGCATCCAATATTTTTGAAACAATTACGGATGCATGCACTATGTCATACAACATGAAGAAGCCCTGCGTTCATGAAGGACAAATTTAAAACACAAAGTACTGCAGCAACTTACTGTTGTTTTGTCAGTCTTCCCGTTTGCTTTTTTGTTGGTTTGCTCCTCATCATGCTCATTTTGATCAGTTTGGCTTCCTTTCGGCAACTTGTCAGTTTCCTCATCCGAATCAAAGGAGAAACCATCCAGCGTCCCTTCACCATACACAGTAATTCAGTCAGGGCGTTGGAGGACATGAAATGCATATGCTACAAAAAGGAACCCAAATACAAATAAAAGCCCTAATTAATTGTTGAAAGACGCAGCCAACCTTCAACCATAGTTTCTGCTTCATACACATTAGATTGTGGTTTCAGCTGTATGAAGTCATTCATGATCGCCTCTATCTGATGAAGAAATACATGAATAGCATTGACAAATTAGTAAAGGAATATTCCCCGTAATGTCACTAGACTTACTACACAAGGGTAACAATGTGGGAAAGGAACAATGAAATCCTTAGTAAGGTAAGATAATAAAGCTAAAAAGTCAAAACATAAACCCTCGATACGAATGTGTGTGAATTGTTATTTGATAATAAACGGACCTTTGCCTCTGACTGCCCGAAGCTAACCTGAAGAAAGAACAAATTCATATCAAAAGGCAAAAGCAATTTGTTAAAGTTAGATGCCACAAGGCATTTATTGTAATAAAAAACTCAGAAGGCCTTTTTTTTGGGGGGGGGGGGCGCAATAAGGACATGATTTCAAATGCAGAAAATCCCATACAAGATTAATTACATACAACACAAAACGTCCTGGAAGGAATTATTGCTGTTTTGTATATTGTTCCTGCAACAGTATGTAAAAGTTGTGCGATCAGATACAGTTATCCTTTAGAAAACAAAAGGACTATATAACTAACTAACTCAGAAGGTCAGACATAGAATTTTAGTGGCAGAACAGGAGATTACAGAGGCACATATCTCAGAAAAGAAAGTATGCAACAACAACAACAAACCTTATCCCACTAGATGGGTTTGAAAAGAAAGTACACACATACATATGAATAATAAAAACCAAGATATCATCAGTAAGTTTCAGATATTCTGAGAAATTAATAATATTTACGGGTTCATCTTCATTCATTTCTAGAAAACTCAGTATGTAGCTATCACACTTATAAAAAAACTAGCTACAATGAGAAAGGAATCCACGCGTCTTTCTACAGCATAATACTAAATCGTGACTCAGAAAACAGACGCATTAAAAATACCTTTCAAATCAAAGTACATTTCCTGATCCCCAGAAGGAGAATCTGAAATCATTATTCTGCCCACAGCGCCTATATCACCACTTAGATCTATAGAGTCACCTTCACATTCAATAAGTGCCTGCCAAGACAGAGGAGCTCTTTGTAAAGAACCTGTTTTCCTTCTTGTGAGTGAGAAAGAGAAGTGTAATACATCGCATAATGGATCAATGAAAGAAAATACTACGATCCCTGATTATAACCAGTTTTACCCACTAATTCCCAAAACACTCTTTTATCGTCAATAAGCAGTGCAATCTCTATTGGTAATTTCATTAACCTAATAATATGAATCAAGAAATATAAAACTCAATATAAAATATAAAATTCACAGAAATTATTCGTGTGTCATGAATAGCATAATTCATTTTTCAAACTCCATGCAACGCATAGAAAAACCTACTTAGTTATTTTTAAAAGCATACTAGAATATGGTCCTTATAGAATTGAACACGGAGAAGAGGGTAAGCCATAATATAATGGGGCTGTCAAACCTTTGTACGATGAACTTTCTCAGAAAGAATCAAAGGCAACCCTGAATAGACCTGCGAATCACATATCGCAAGCAAAACTCAGGATGCCAGACTAGATAGATAATTCATATGCCTTCAAATTATTCATGCATTGAAGCCAAGGGCACATCATGAACCAATTTCTAGTATTTACTATAATCTTAACTGTTCTTACATGTGGTTCAACATGCTTTTCAGAAGTTCTTTCCTCTTTAACTTCCGCATCTTCACCACTCCCTGTTCCAATTTCAGATGACAGGCAAAAGATAATGAGAAAATTTTAACTCAAATACACATGCTTGAAAATGGAGACATCTCTTGGATGTTCAATAACTATTCTGAAGCAACTCACTTCATAGTTCATACCTTTCCCTTTTGCTCCGCCTTTTGTGCTCCTCGTATTATGTGGTGTATGGTCATCTTGGTGTATTTGCTTCTGTGGAAGCTTTTCTTCTGATTCCTTCTTTGATGGAGACTTTCCATCTTTGCCAATGAGAACTTCATCCCCACATTTCTCTTCACCTAGGAATTCCAATTTTTGGCATGCATAAGTTTCCTGCTCATTGATGCGATCTTCCCATTTTTGACTATGATCACATGACTCGGAATCAGATGATAGTGTCCAGACTGAATGAATAGATTCCTTAAAATAAAAAAAATGCCATAAGCAAATAGCAATCACAGAATAGTTTGTTTGGAAAATATCTTTTTCCGTGTTTCCTTGTAGAAGGCAGCAGGCTAACTACTATTAGGATATATAACTTTTCTATCTTATGCATAGGCAGTGAAATCACAATAAAAATCATTTTTAGGAGCAAAAGCCTGCACGTAGATACTTTTAATAATATCAATGAACGAGGTTCTTACATTATGCTTTATATACTTGCCATTGTTTGGTTCATTCATAGCCTTCCTTTTCTTCCCATCTCCTGGATCATAATAGAAAGACGTCAATGAAAGTTTACTGAAAAATCAAACGAAGATTTTTCACATCCTATTGCCATTGGTATTATGGATATGCTTGTGTTTTAAGCTTAGTATTTTTTATTGAGCTTTTAATGACTCAGAACAAATTCTAGGCCTATTTTACATATTCATCTTGACAAACACAGCACTCAAATCTCAAATATACCTTCTATCTTTTCGTTGTCCCCTTTTTTTCTTCTTGATGGTGTCCGAGAGACTGCTTCTACTGTCCGCCTGGGCAAAGACTCGGCACAACTTTTGCCTGGGCCAGTTGTCTCCTTCTTGGCGATCTCAGAAAATGTAGACGACTTTAAAAATGACTCTCCACGGACAGCTTTATCCTCAACTGAAGGGCTATCATCTTGAAGAGACCCAGAATTCGAGGATATCGTCAACGGTGAATCAGTTGGCACCTTGTCAACATCATCAATTGTTCTAATTAGAAAGCACATAAAAATGATGCAAGTATGTTTCGTGGCAGCATCATCATTGCTTGTGAATGTTAAGGTACCAAGATGCGAAGGAAACGATTTAAAGTCGAAATTAAAACTGATTCAGAAATTGATGTTTATTGCAGGCATCGTACTCCAGTCATCAAGCTCGTGTAGGCGAATTAGAAAGTAATTATAAAACAATAAATGAAATAATCCAACAGAATCTTCTGAAGCAACCAAGCAGAAAGAAAAATATTGTTCAGAACACCTTAAATGAACGCAGCCAATCCGGAGAGCTCTCCCTCGAATCGGTCATTTGTAGATTTGTTTGCGGAATAAAAATCCTAGTTATGAAATGAAAGGCCTGTAAAGCAATGAGGCGATTATGGAATATTGAAGCCACCGTTAGTCACATGAAGCAAATCATCGAACACGTAAAAGGCAAAAGCGGACAGAAGAGGAAAGAAAGTGAACCAACCTTGTCGAGACGAATTAGCCGGATTTCAGTATAACTGACATTTCGGAAAATTATCGAAACCGTTGCTAGCTACCTGCCTACCTCACGCCTTGCTACTAGAAGGGGGACGGACTGAGAGCGGGAACTTTTTTGTCTCGGGTTCTGACTTCCGAGCCGCTGGAGGCGAAATCCGGAGTTGATGAAATTGATTTTTTTTTTTTTTTGGTACTAATGATGAAATTGATATTTTGATGTTAATATATAGTTATACACTGCATGCACGTAATTATTCTCCATATTTCTATTAATTAGTTTGATAGTTTAATTGTGAAATACTACTACGCTAAAATCTAGAAACATTTTTATTACATGCTTGTTTAATCATGTGATCATATCCAACACCATCGCCATTCCCAAGAAAGCAGAAGAAGAAGGAAATGAGAGAAAGAGGGGCGATAAGGAAGTCAATTAATGAAAAAGCTATTTTCATCGATATTGCCGGGATTGCGGCCTCGCGCCTAGGTCGTCTTGGAACGGAAATTAAACTTATTTGATGGACTGGACTTCGATGGGCTTGACTCTTTTTACTTTGATGGGCTTGATTTTTTGGGACTTCAATTATGGGCTTCATTTGGAAAGCGAGGAAAAGGTAGAAATTTCCTATGGTAAAATTAAAGGGAGGCTCCAGCCCTTATATAAAAGGCTTAAAGCTGAACTCCTAAACCCAATTACAAAAAAAAATAAAAATAAATATTATAATGTAATTAGAATATTTTAAAATTAAACATAAAAATAAATCAAAGTAATTATTTTAGTTGGCAAAAAAAAAATTACCTTTGTCAAACTTGGTGAGAATCAAAGCACCCATATAAAACAATCAAAGGTCACAATATCAGCCACTTAACATCCATAACAAGACAACAGCTGCTAGTAAAAAGTAGATCATGAGAGGTGTGAGGGGCGATAGGGCAAATAGATGTGAGGAGAGCCAAGTGACTCTGAATAAGGCAGAGATCAAAGACGAGTTAGGGATGATTGATGGCTAAAGAGAGAGCAGAGATGCTGAATGAGGTAGAGATAAGTGACAACCGATGGGAGAGTGGATGAGTGAATAAAAAATTTTTAATCTTCAAGTGAGAGAGTAAGAGTGTCGATCAAACGAAAAAAAGATAAGAGAGTTGCTCAAGAGGTTTGTTAAGATTTGGGCTCAAAAGCTTGATTATCTTAAAAAAGTTTCTATTTTTCAAACTCAAAATTTTATTTAAATAGGATTTACAGACCCGACCTTTATTCCCAACTCTAAGCTTTGGTATTAAGGGAAAAAAGATAGAATAAGTTTTGAAACTAATAAGATTTAATGTAGTAAAAAAAGCTAATTTCTTGCAATGTGATGAATTAATATTTAAATTCTTATTAAAAAAATTACATTTAGTTTATAACCTTAACTCGAAGATAATTGGTTCCAGTAAGAGAATTCTTGCACTCAATCAATCAAATAAAAAAACAACTGGTCTAGGGAGCATCCCTTTCAGAAATTATTTTAAAATTTTGTATGAGAAATTCTAAAATTCCTATTGGTGCTTTTATGAGCTGGATCAAGTTGACCCGGCCCATGTTACTATCGTTTGATTAAAAAAAAAAAGGCACAGACATGAAAAGGGATTGTATGCGAGGAAAACATCGAAGATCTTCGTTATCCGTCTCGCATTTTAAGCACCGACGAGGAGAACGCACCCCCGGCTGGGCTGAGGTTCGTTGATTCAGAACTATCAAAATGGAGCGAGGGAAGCAGGGAGGAGCGGTGCTGGCGAAGGTATCGCCTCACCAGCTTCAGAATCCCATAGAGCTCCTCCAAACGCGCTTCAAAGAGGTGGAAAATGGCTTCAAGCTGTGGCTCTCCAAGCAGTCTCTACCAGTCGAGGCTGCTGTGGTCACTGTTACCAGCGCTGCCCAAGGTGCTGCTATTGGTGCTTTTATGGGCACTCTGACTAACGATGCTTCTTCCCCTTTCCCCACGCCGCCTGAGGCTTCTCTCAACCCTCAAGCCATGGCCTCTCTTAAGCAAGCTCAGGTGAGGATACCCAATTTTCCCTATTTAGTCTCCCATGGCCCTGATAGTTTCAACTTGGAACCTCTTTACACTAATTCTTGTTCACAGGTAAGGGTTTGGTTGAACCGAGAAGTTGCCTGATTCCGTGGATGAAACCTTTTAGTGGCAATACTAGACTACCGATTAAGTCTTCAATATGACTTTTTCTTTTAATTAAAAAAAAAAATTCTCACTCGTATCTTGGGACGTGTTTATTTATGGACATAATTTGCTGCTTCGATTTAAACGTAGAAATGATTTCTCTTTTCCATGTCGAACAGAATACAATAATTAGCTTTGAGAACTGATTTTGTTATTTAGCGGCATAGTATTAGTTTCATAGCTCGTACCCTGCTTCAATATATAACGTACAATCATAACGGCTAGAGTCCATGCCTTTCGTGGGTTTTTATAGGACAACAAATTCTTCATGATAGTTACGTGGCTAATCGATTGATAGAGAAGTTATATCCGTCTGTATGTGACGTACGAATTTTTTCAATTATAGGCCCTTTCTGGGGGTCCTTTGGTACAAGCTCGAAACTTTGCTGTCATGACAGGAGTGAATGCTGGTATATCCTGCGTCTTGAAAAGAGTGAGGGGGAAGGAAGATGTCCAGTCCAGGTGAGATTTAATAGGAATTTTCTCTCGTTGTTTTTGTTTTTTATATAATTTACCCTCCCTTACTCTACCTGGACTTTTTTGGTGAGTTAAATACTTAAATTGATATGATTTATCCTATTATAGGACATATCCCCCCGGTTGAGCTTCCCAAGATTTATTTTCTTCAAAATGATACATGTTATTATTGTGTCCTTGCTATATTTAAGTTAGAAGAAAACTTATGTACTCAACCTTATATAGTTAAAGTGTTTGTTTTCAATAAAATCAAGACATTTAAATATTTTATATATTATTTATTCCATAATAAACTCTTGTTATTAATGTTATTAACACTTTAAGATCTACTTGTTTTGATTTGATTGGACAAAATTAGATTAAGTATATAAGGTTAAGTACTTAAGTCTTTTCCTTTAAGGTATCCCTTGCCCAAATATCAAAGATGAAAGGAATGTGCATAATTTATGGGCTGTTAAGACATGGAAATAACAGTCTTACTGCGAAGAGATCATATTGGATTATCATTTGTAGTTACGTTACCATAAAATTTTTGTTGTTGTTAGGCATGGAAATTTGAAACTCAGACGCTATTTGAAATTTTTGGCTATTGGTGGCTACTTTGCTGCTCACCTGGAAAATACGAATTTATTTGGAGCTAATTCTTGTTTGGTTTCATTTTTAATAAAGATAAAGTAGTGTTTATGATATCATTTTGTACTTCCCCGTACAGTTAGGATGATATTGTAGATAGGGGGAATGATTCAGAATTTAATATCATTGCATAACCAGAAAGGGAGAGTACAATTTCCATATTTTTAGTATTTTCAATTGAACGCAAAGGTAGTTTTTTTTTTTTTTTTGTGTGTGAATTAGAAATGGCATCTTCTATATATCTCCAACTATGTTTAGTATTCTTATTACAGTGCATCCTTTTGTCGCCAAAGGAAGTCCTGGGTTTGGTACCCTTGGTATTTTAACTTTCAAATCAGATGCATACTGAACTGTTAAAACATTTTTTTTTTTTTAGTTGGGTTGGTTTTTCCTGGCGTTCATGCTTGAAACTTAGTCTGCTGAGATTTGAAGTTGCCTGATGATGATAACTGATAAGGCTGGAAGAGTGAATGTATACAGGCAGGGTAGAAGATTAATTATTCTTCAACATTGTAAAAACAAAATGTCTGTTTTCCCCCCTGAATTTTCAAGGTATGATCAAAATAATGGAGGTAACTGAGTTATAGGTCTATCAAATGATTAGATACAGGGTAAAACAATTCGCAGGGCTGTACTTTTTTTGCAATAAAACAACAGCAATACCATGTGATGCTAAAGAGGCATAATGTGAATGAAAATTTTAGCCTTTAATCATGGTTGGCCATAATTGTTACATCAGATGCAAGTACACTGTGCCATCAAAAGACTTTGCTAAGAGAAACATGTTGTATGCTGATAGAGTACCGATTACCGTGGGGTAATGGATCATTTGAGAAGTAAGAGATATATTAGGAATAAATATTATTTTTAATTTATTTTAGATATTTTCTATTTAATGATATTATTTACATTTTATTTAGGTTTTTAGTCATCTAGATTTTATTTAGATATCTCAATATTTATCTAGATATCTAGTTATTTAGATATTTAGATTTTATCTAGTATTTTATCCAGATATAGATTCTGGGAGATTTTATTCAGTATTATTTAATTATCTAGTTATTTAGATTTTATTCATTATTTTAGATTGTATTTAGCATTATAAATATGCTTAGCAACTCAAAAGTAGGCATATCCTGAATAAAATAGACTTTTGAGACTTGACCTTTTGGAGATTTTCCTAAGTGTGGCTATTAAGACAAATATAAAACAAGATCCTTGTTCTATATTATCTTGATAGATTTATTCCTTCTATTTTCTTTTATCAGTTCTATGTCTTATTAATGTTATGAAGTTAGATTCTGATTTTATATGTTAATAGAGATTTATCTCTTCCTATCTTGGATACTATCATTTGGTGTCATAGCCGTTTGATCCAAAGATGGTACCTACCTATTCTGCATGCCTTTTTCACAAACCCACATTTTCACCACCATCCTATTGTCATCCATCTTCTAGAACACATTTTCCCAAGTATGATGGTGGAGATCCACAACCATGGATTTTAGAAGCCAAAAATTGTTTTTGATATTATCACACTTCTAAAGACTTCAAAGTTGATATTGCATTGAGGCATTTAAAGGGAGATGTTTATGATTTCTTCACTTCCATTAACATGGAACGTACAATCTTCTATTAGGAATAATTAGTGGAGGTGTTACTAGAAAATTATGGGCCTCTGGAATATCAGAACCCAGATGAATTCTTATGTAGCATCAAGCAAATTGGTTCCGTGCAGGAGCATTGTTTGGAATTTGTTAGGCGCCTTGCTCGTGTGAAGAATTGGCCGGAACATTGCCTCTTGGGAGTCTTCATCAAAAGCCTCAAGGAGAAGCTCAAATCTTATGTCTGGACTTAAGACACTTTACCCGGCTGTTAGTTTGGTTCTTGAATATGAGTTAAAAGCCCAAAACTCTTGCGGGCTCAAAACTGCCTAGCAGAACCAAACTAAGCCTTTGTTTCCTTCTGCCCCTTATCAAACAGCACGTGATTTCAAAGAGACATTAGCATTGACTTGAAACTCCCTTTGCTAGAAACTTCAACCTCTTTTCCTCACAAGCCAGCATCTAGAATGGCTTCCATGGATGCCAAACAGTGGTGACAACAAGAGATGGGACTGTGTTTCAGCTGTTGTGAGACTATCAAACTTGGGCATTGCTGTAATGGATCTTTTTTGCTGCTAGAAATTACAGAGGAGGGTGAAGAAATTGTTCCTTCCCTTGAAGAGGACAAAACCATGGAGATGGAACCTGGTGGGGTTGAAATTTCCCTCAATGCTATTCTGGATAGCAATAACATATCTGCAATGAAGCTTCAAAGGAGCTTCTTTGAATGCCAGGTCCTGAACTTGGTGGATAGTGGGTCTACCTACAACTTTATCCTTGAAGTTCCCATGCAGCCTCTTGTTTGACCTTTTGGAATCCACATTAGAGGTGGTGCTATTTATCTATTACTCCCATCTCAACCTCCAGATACACAACAAAGTTATTGCCTGTGTCTCGCCTTGAGGACAAGGCGAATTTTCAAGGGAAGAGTATTGATAGAGTATCGATTACAGTGAGATAATCGATAATTTGAGAAGTTAGAGATATATTGGGAATAAATATTATTTTTAATTTATTTCAGATATTTTCTGTTTAATGATATTATTTACATTTTATTTAGGTGTTTAGTCATCTAGATTTTATTTAGATATTTAGATATCTAGATATTTATCTAGATATCTAGTTATTTAGATATTTAGATTTTTTCTAGTATTTTGTCCAGATATAGATTCTAGGAGATTTTATTCAGTTTTATTTAATTATCTAGTTATTTAGTTTTTATTCATTATTTTAGATTGTATTTAGCATTATAAATATGCTTAGCAATCAAAAGCAAGCATATCCTGAATAAAATAGACTTTTGAGACTTGGCTTTTTGAAGATTTTCCTAAACATGGCTATTGACAGAAATATAGAACGAGACTCTTGTTCTATATCGTCTTGATAAATTTATTCCTTCTATCTTCTTCTGTTAGTTTCATGTTCTCTTATTCATGTTATGAAATTAGATTCTGATTTCATATGTTAATAGAGATTTGTCTTCCTTATTTTTCTCTTCCTATCTTGGATCCTCTCATATGCATCAGCCATATGTGCTGCTGACAGTTAAATTTATTCTGTATGATGTGTCCCAAAGGTATTGATTAAATCATAACTGATGATGTATGTGCACCTGGTGCACGCTGGAATTGTTCCGAAGTTAAATGGTGAAGTTGCGTCCAGCAGTGGTCTGTGATTATGTATACATTGTGATGGCCCTGACCGCTACATGAAACTCTAGATTTCGTACTCAAAAATCAAAATGATCAAAAGGGTGAACTTTTTATGATGTCAAAGCCTTTTTTTTTTTTTGGTTATTATTATTATTTTGTTATAAGAATCTTTCCAACTGGACCTGAGTATTAAACTAGATGAAATGGGTTCTCTAGTACAAACCAAACTATTTTTCTTCCCCAACAAAAACCTCACTCATTTCTCGCATCATTTTCTGTTTAATTTGTTGGTTTTTGTATCCTTATTTCAGCCACTGTGCTTCCTTGTAGTTAAAATGATGAATTGTTGAGGATCTATTGACTTGTCTATTACAGCATGGCAGCGGCTTTTGGGTCTGGGGCCATGTTTTCATTGGTAAGTGGAATGGGTGGACCAAATCAAGCAGCAAATGCAGTCACTTCTGGACTTTTCTTTGCTCTTGTTCAAGGTGGACTCTTCCAGGTTGGTATGAAGGAACGCCAAATTATCTTTATGCAGTTTTTACAAGGCTTTAATTATTATTCCCTCTATTAAAAAATGTAAGGCATTTTTAATCGAAGCTCACCCCTCACCAAAGTAGTTACTTTTCTTTAAAGTAACTTTATCTTTTCATATTTACCTCTATTTAATAGAGTGTTTAACTATAAAATAAATATAAAGTGATTTATTCAATAAGGACATTTTTGAAGGAAAAAAAAGGCAATGATTATACTTTGAAAGAGTAAAAATATCTTATATTTTGAACATCAAACCTCTCAAAAATTGCCTTATATTTTTTAGTAGAGGAAGTACATGCTACCTCTGTTTCATAAGGGGGACCATAACATTGAGCTTCCTGTGTTGGCAACATAACAACAGAGAATATGGATTGAGTGAAAATTCTAGAAATGAATTTCTAGGGGGTTTCTGTTTGGGTTTATCGTACTATCCATGGTTGAAAAGTGAAAACCCTGGCATGATCAGTTCACCTTTGTCCAAGTGAGATGTGTTTGCCTAGGCCTAGACCTAGACCCCTGGGTGTTATGTGGGTAATGCAGGTTCATGGTTTGGCGTCTCTTAAACTCTCTCTTTGCTAAGATTATGTATTCCTAAATCATGCAGTTAGGACAAAAGTTCTCTCAACCACCATCTGAAGATATTCGCTATGCCAAAACGAGACACATGTTGCACAACCTTGGCCTTCAGAGCTACGAGAAGAATTTCAAGAGAGGCTTATTGACAGACAACACTTTGCCTTTACTCACGGACAGGTTGGCCGTTGGCATTTATCTTTTTCATTTTTTTAGAGTTTTTATTTTGTGTTACATCTTTTGTTCTGTGTTTTTCTTTTACCATGGTCCGAAATCTGAATTTGTTTTTGCCTTGTCTGTGGGGCAGTGCTCTCAGAGATGTGAAAATCCCTCCTGGACCTAGGCTTTTGATTCTTGATCACATCCAGAGGTTTGAATAATTACTGTCTCTAGTTATGCTGCGCCCTGCTTTTGCATTTCTCTTACATGGCGATGTTTGGCGATAGGGACCCAGATCTGAGAGGGAAGCGAGTAAGCCGGAATTAAATTGGATGAAGAGAGTTTGTTGCCACCGACCTTATAGTACTGCTTAAAATCCGTCGGAAAGGATGTTAGCAAGATTTTGTCTTAAATAAGTTTTATCATTTTTGTTTATCATGCTCTATATTCCAAGGTTGCTGTTGCTGAAGCAATTTTAAGATAATTTGGCAAACTCTTGAGCATAGCTACGGCCAAAAAAAAAAAAAACTGGCAATTTTTTTCTGAATCATATATATATATATATATATATATTTTTCACATTAGGAAGATTTGAACTCTTAGACACTATTTCCGGTCCATCGTATCTTATCATTTAGTTTTTTAGTAGAACTTATCATTCTGGTTTTGTGTGTGGTGTTTTTGTTGCCCGTAAGAAAACAATGTTACGCTTTCGGTCGTTTTTCACTGTCCAATTTTACCCCTTTGTCGCATGATCCGTCTAACATTTTAATGTCAACATTAACAGTATGGTGACTACTGACTATATGTTATGACACAATATATTCACACTCATGACTCATTTTGACATTCTAGTCATTAGATCATTCACCATTGAGTTTGGCTTTAAAATTTAAATGGAAAGTTGACTAAATGACAAAGTTTGGTCATTGCATACAATGAGAGAATGTTGCTCGAGCTTGGATTGAATGGAGTAAATTTAAAGTTGGATGACATCAAAAATTTGTAAAGTTTAGAAAAAATGATAGTTAAGTTTAAAAAAAAAATAATGACAACTAAATTTTTAATAAATTTTTTTAAAGATTTAATTGTAATTATTGATTTAAATAGTTGTAAATTTAAAAGTTTTAATTATGAATATAATATTTAAATTTTAAATATAATAATTAATTTGTTATTTATAATTGGATGAATTGATATTTATAATTTTGTTTATAAAAAATTTTATTAAAAATTTAACTATTATTGATTTTTGTTTTTAAAACTTTTTTTAAAGCATGTTTGGATTGAATCTTAATTTGGGTTAAGAGAGACCAAACCTATGTTGGGATTTTAAAAGTCTCATTTATCATGTTTGGACAGTAAAAAAAAAAATCAATCTTAATTAGGGTCTAAACCAACGTTTATGTCAAAGCTCATCCACTCAGCTTTTTCATTAGCATTGAGTGTTCGAATTTGGAGCATTAAATGCTTCTTAAATTTTTTATTCTCTCTCTTCAGTTACTTGCTCTCTACCCAAACCATTGTCATTGTTGTTCCCATGGTTGCTCTAGCTTGCCCTTCATTATTCCAAGCTTGTTGGATCTGACGAGAGATCACAACCACCGCTGTCGTCGAGACCTGATCTCCACCGTGCATGTAGTGTGTTGCTCACACTAATTCACAATGTTGTCTTCTCTCTCTTCATTCATGAGTGGCACGATTTCTCCTCCTCTGCCTTCACAAGTCTCTACTTTCATGAGTGTGCTCGTTGTCGTCTGATCCCTTGCCCTAAATTTGATCAAAGATTGTGCTCGTCATTGTTATTGCTGTCCAAACTTCCATCGATTGAACCAATGCTCATGGTGTTTTTAGCATTAACGGAGATGGCATAAAGCATGGCAAAACAGGCCTACATGGAGAAGACAAGGCCAGTAGAGAAGAGAAGGAACGTGTTGTCAACAACAAAGGTGGTGTCTATTAAAATGTTGCAGATGAGGTTGAAGAAGGTGGTGTCGGTGAAATATAGCATTTGGCGAGGTTGAGATCGAACTACTGGGTGCTTTCGCAAAGTAATCCAATATTATAAGTAATAGTTAATACTTAACATCTCATTTTATGGATATTGTTTTTCTAAATTTAAAGTTTATTTTTTTAAAAGAAGATCAAATTAGACTATTTATTAAATTTTAATTATATATAGGCTATAATTTATCATTTCATTCATGCTCTTTTTAAAAAGTTGAATTTTAAATAATGAATTTATTTTAGATAATTTAAGTCTACCTTTTTAAATGTAATCTAAAGTTTATGATTTTTTTAAAAATATCAAATTAGTCACAAAAAGATAGACAACAAAATTTATATCCATTTTTATTATTATATATCTTAATTGATTTTTAAATTAAATTATATAAATAATTTTTAATTTATTTAATTAAATTATAAAAAATATTTAAATATAGATCATATTAAAATCACAGGTTTTTTTAATCTCAATTTACTAACCTTAATTAAATACCAACTTCAGTGAATTTTTTAATTCCAATTTTCAACCCACAGATATTGTCATTCTTGATATCTGTGCCGTAAAGGAGATCCCAATTTTCCAGGAGAAGGTTAGATGTGATTGGCATGGAATTCCATGACGTGGGTTTTCGTTGTCGAGTGGTCGCTGCCAAACCACTTGCCATTGATGTTTTGTGGGCCCCTCTTGCCTAGAGCGACCGTTTCACTCCATCTAGAGCCAATCCACTTCACCCATGGCCATTACTTGCTCTGTCTCTAATTGTGCTCTTGGTTTTTATACATTGCGTGCCCTGTTTATAAATTATTTTAACAAATCTCACCGCAATAAAAAATTATGAAACAGATTTTAATTTGCTGGATTATTAGAAGCTACAATAACAATTAAATCCTGAATTAATAACTGTTAAAATTTAATAAAATTTTCTAAAAAAATGAGTTGAATATATCAATTTAGATAATTGTGAATTTAGAAGTCTAAATTATAATTAATATCCCTGTTTGTAATTTTCTATATTAATATTTAAAACTTATTTTTTATAAAATTTCCTCATAACCTAATTATCTTTGATTCATTTTTCTCTTTCTTAGATTTCATTCTCCTGCGTTACAAGGGAGAATATCAATAAAAATCTCAGAAAAAATTTAATTTCTTAAAAGAATTGCCGACAAGTAAGAGTTAATAAATTAAAAAGTGAAATTATTATTTTAACAAATACTGTATCAATTAATATTTTCTAAAGAACTTCCATTCTTTCAAAAATATTTTATTTATATTCTCCCTTGTTACAATTGGTGGGTCCAGAACGTGATTCCTATTTTTCATGGGTTTGCCTCATAACACTGTTCTTGTGGGGCTAGTTTCCCACTATCAATCAATTGCGGTAACCAATCAATGCTCCTAGTGGCCTCGCAATCGATCAATAATTCACATCGGGTCCACGTCCTCCGTCTTTCTCTCTACTTGGAGAATATTGGATTGTATTGATATGGAAATACGGGTTAACCCATTCAGTTATACAGTAAAATCATTAAATAACCAGTTTAACAAAATGAATGTATTTTTTACCATTAATCTTTAAACCAGTTCAATCACTTCAACTTTTGCTTTCATCACTTTTTACTATAGTTACAATAGCCATCCCCTGCATAGTTGCATTTACTAATCACTCAGCCAGTTGTTAACTCTGCACTTGTTATAACACTCAGAATTTGATTTGTCGATAGCAGTATTATTGGCAGCAAAACTTAACATACTTTGCACATGCATTAATGTGTTAATAATCCCTCTCTCCTGGGACTTTCCTTGGTTGGGGCAAAAGAAGCAGGATCTCGCGTTGGTTAATCTATATGGGCCTTGACATCGAAAACAACCAGCTCTGAAGAAGTCGAATCCCCGTTAACTTCAAACTTTTTTTTTTTTTTTTGCCTTTTTGGCCAACGTTAACTTCAAACTTGGATCTTAGTCTTCCAGCCTTCGAAAAAATAAGAAATTTCCATCTCCAACGGATCATCAGCCGCTCTCCATGGATGAACAGAGTTTTTATCAGTTCTATCTTGACTTCGAATCTTGAAACGAGCTGATTTTTGCATTAAAAATTTAAATTAAAAGATGAAGTGAGATCTACGCAATACCTTCAACGTCAAGAATCAATCTTCCGTCGTATGGAATAGGATTCTCCTCTTTTTTCCCATCCTCTTTTCCTCCTCTTCTTAATTTCTTGTCATTAAATCAGATTTTGAATAATTCTGTTTTGATCTCCTTCAAAACATTTTATTTTGTTTTACTTTTACTGTATTTTCATATTGTTCTTATTAATTTTCAGTAGTTTAAATTTATTATTTATCTTTTTTATAATTTAATATTTTAATAATAATTTTAGAGGAGATCAAATCTGAATCATATAAATTTTTAATCTAATTGCTAGAAAAGAAGAAGAACGGAAGAGGATGGAGAAAAAGAGGAGATAATGCATGCCGTGTGTGATATGTGCTTAAAAGAAAATTGCCATCATCATAACATAATCCCTCCGTTAAGCATACCAGAGGCACCATGGTTTATCTACAACAGAAACTTTCGCAGAGAACCATTCGACTTCTTTCCTCTAAATTCTTTCACAACAGAGAAAGGACGAGAGAGAACTGATCCACGCCAAAGAGACTTCACATATGGATTACAAAACGTCTATCTACAATTTTCTACTACAACATGCTACAATTTATATTTTATTAAACAAAAAGGAGGGCAATCGAGGATAAAAGGCACGAGTGATAACTGATCAGGAAGAAGAAGGAATGGAAATGGATCGAGTCTTGAGGAGATTCTGTGCCTGGGAGAGTTGGTCCATGAGAGTTACGATGCGAGCGTGATAATCACGCGCCTGGTGAAGAGCCTCGGCCTCCAATTCGCCGAGCTGAGAGCAGAGTCTCTCCTCGGCGTCTTCGGCCACGTGGAGCCTCTCCCAGGTGCTCTGCAGCTCACGCCTCATGAGCTCCTCCCTCTCCTTGCTCTGCCTCAGCTCCTTCTCCAACTCCTCGTTCCTCTTCTTCAGCTGCAGCGCTGTCGTATCATGAGACTCTGATTTCTTCTCCTGGCTCCGGATGCCAATGACCGCCATCATCGGTGCGTAAAAAATGAAAGTAAAGACTAGAAGAATAAGTAGATGAGCAGAAACACACAAAGCAGGATGAAAGGCAGAGTCAAATATGAGGACGCCGGTGGATTTGCTGCGGGTAACGATTGGCTTGGAGGCAACTATAAATAGGCCGAAATCAGGTTGTCCAGGTTCAATGAACCTTTGCTCTGTGGCTTTTCACTCTATTTCAATTTTCAGTTTCTTTTTCGGGCAAACACTCTATTTCAATTTCTGATCAATTAATTTCTGCTGCTGACGCATTCGCTTCGCATTGAAAATGATTTAGAATAGGAACAATGACAATTGGAGACCACAAAAGAACAATAATAACAATTTTAGACCCCAAAAATTTGAAATCCTTAATGGTCCTCGTTTGCAATTGCAATTAAAATATAAATGAGTTTACAAAATTACCCATATGAGCAAATGAAAAATATAGCTTATCAGAGCCTCAATTTTTGTGCGTAAAATTCTTCTCACTTCAAATCTCCTTCATTAACAAAATATCCTAATATTCAACGAAGTGGATCCTCTTGCAATATATAGGTATATGTATCACTATGTTTTTTCTTAGTTTTACATGTCTCCTTTTTTTTTTCTATCTTTTTTGTCAGTGTTGTGGTCTTCTCTGTACTATGTGAAAAATAAATGCTGAGTTCTATACTGCAATCCTTGTTCTTTCTCTTGTATAGCTAGAGGAAAAAGTAATTTTGTTGATGTATATGTAAGAAAATACAAGAATGTTGGGGTTTTTTACTAAGATAGTGTTGGAAAAAAATTAAGGGAATAATAACTATTATTTCTTTCTTGTTACCGTGATTGCAACTTAATGTTTGAAAAACGGTGTATTTTACTTGTACTATGATGAAAAGTATACAATGTTAAAAAAACGAAATTAGGTGTTAAATTGTTGAAATTTTAGTTGAAAATATTAAAAGGTTAGTTGTGAAATAATAAAATTATAAAGTTTTTTTTTTGTTCTTCGAAGGTTAATTTACATACACACACACACACAATAAGCACTTTAACAAAAAAAAAGTATTTTATTATTTTATATTGAAGGGCATTCTGTTATAGATTTACAAAGAAAGTTGACCTGCGAGCGAAGATCAATTTTTATACTAGTAGAGGGCATGAATCATCAAGAGTTGTTGAGGATAGTATCATCATTAACAATTTGTGAAAGGGGTGAAAACCACATGTATATTCATACAAGTAAAGAGAGTTACAATTTCAAGACAACGGTGAACTATTGCTCAATTTCAATTTTTGTACTTTTGGTAGGCACGAGTCATGCAAATATAGGTTTGTAGTTTGTATTTTCTTTTTTAAAAGAAGCAAAATGCACAACTATCATTTAGACAGATGGTAGGAAATAGAAATAGACTTTTTTTTTTGTACAAAAAGATTGTGCATAATTAACTACTTTGTTACATCCTAAATTTGTGTGTGTGTTGTGTGGGTAACCTTACTTATCCAACCAAAATTTTACAACCATGGTGAGTGAGTCAATATGCAATTAGTTGCAATGAAGGTACTCTAATGAACTTGTGCAATTTGTCAAATTACTATTTTGTTCTCTATTCAATGTAAGGTTGGTTTTCCATGCTTCCACGTGACTTCAATTACTCCAACTTTGAAAAATATTCTCTTTTATGTTAAATGACTTTAGGATGCTAACTTCCATGTCTTCTTTTTTAAAAAATATTGGTTGGCCATGGTGGATCATTATTAAGTGAGTATATTTGGATGAATTGTTATTAACTGGAGTTAATGGTGTAAGTCTTTACAATATCCCTCATAACTTCATGCTTAGAGCCAAATCACTTTACTAGAGGTAGGTTTGTCAAAGTTTATAAGTCCAACAAGGACTTACCACATGGTAAAATAATATCTTAAAAAAAAATCTAAAACACATTTATTTTCAAACAAATCCTGACGAAATAATGATTATAATCAACTAGATAAAAACAACTGAATAATTTATCATATATAAATTCAAACATTAATCATTTTCAAGTATTTACATATCATTACATATGCACATAAAATCATCCCACTTAGCAATCATTTTTTGAACAATAAATAATACTTTCTCATACATTGATTTCCAAACAACAAACATACACATAACAAGTAACAAAGCACACTTAATCACATATTAATGATAGTTACCTTATTTCCTTGCTAATAAAGCTTCCTGTACAAGGGCAACATCACCTTTTATGGTGTTTCTACAGCAATCTACATGTATTAAAATGCTATAGTTAATAAGGTACTAATTAACACCAATCAAAATGTTAGTATACTAACCACACCCCAATCCTACAGTCAAGTTAATTAATCTCCTTGATCCAAATCTATCATAGTAGTCCACGCCCTCAAACTCACTTGAAATCATCATTATTATACTCTCTAACACTTATTTCACCTTTACATAACTTAAATCATCATTAAATTCACCTAGTAAGGCTTAAGGTTTTGGATTCTACCTATTCAAGATCACAAACAACCTCAAAATTACTTGAATCTTGCTTATTTAACCTCAAAACACCCATATAATTCAAATCCAAGGGTTGGGTCATTAAAAATTTGAAACCCTAGCTATGCCTATAGTGAAACCTTGCTTAAGATGAAGAGTAAAGGGTAGAGAAGAAGGTAGAAAGCTTACCTCAAGCATTTAATGCACTAAAGTTAGCTCTCAACTACTAAAAATTGAATGCCTTAGTAAACCTCTTAATTTTTTGTACCTTAACCCTTACTAAATACCCTCATCTATTTTATCATATGATAAAATGAGGGATTTAAATTTATGACCATGCACTGCACATAAAGTACCACTACAGTTTAAGCTCAGTTTGACCCAATACATATTTCAAGTCTTATTTAACCTTTATATGTCATCCTTGGCCCAATTTAACTCACATTTCCACATCTAAAAACAAGATGAACCTCGATTACACATTGACCATCTAAAAAAACCTTAAGATATCATCAATCCTAAGATAAATTCCTCAGTGGCATTTCAATTTCTATAATTAAGTTATTATTAAAAATCTATGATGTTATGTATGGTTTTTACCCTCTTCACCTTTTGTTAGTGATGATACTATCTTCAACATCTCTTGATGATCCAGGCCTTCTCTAATCAATCTAAAAATTAATCTCTCCTCACAAGTCATCTTCCCTTGTGTACCTATAACAAAGTATTCTTTAAAGTAAAAATAATAAAATACTTTTTTTTTGTTAAAGTACTTGCCAGATTAATCTTGAAAGAACAAGAAACAACATATAATTTCATTATTTCATAACTATCATTTCAGTGGTCTTAACTAGGACTTCAAAAATTTAGCACCCATTTTACATTTTTAGCATTGATATGCTTTTTAGTTTTCATCACAATGCAAGTAAAAAAGCAAAGTTTTTCAAACATCAAGTTGTAATCATGAGGACTAGAAAAAAATAGTAGTTATCCCCCCTTAATACTTTTTCAACACCATCTTAATGAGAAATCACATCATTTTATGTTTTCTTATACACACATCCCCCTAACAAGATTAACTCTTTTTACTAGTCATACAGAATGAAACATTTATTTTCCACATGATACAAAAAACCACAACACTTTGACAAGTAAATAGAAAAGGAGATGGGTAAAAGTTAGGAAAAACATAGTAATGCATGTATTTACAGATTACAAGACGACCCACTTTGCTGAAGATCAAGATAGAAGGCGAATAGAGGAGCGTTGAAGTGGGGAGAAGAATTTTATGCAAAAAAACTAAGGCTCTGATAAGCTATCTTCTTCGTTTGCTCATAAGGGCAACTTTGTAAACTGATTTATATTTAAATTGCAAGGAGGATCACTATCTTTTAATAGAAATTATTTGTGAGGTTTGAAATTGTCAATAATATTCTTATGTGGTATGCAATTGTCATTTCCCCTTTAGAATATTATACTCTACTTTAATTTTTCTTTTTTCTTTTTCATTTTTTTGTGTGGCAAAAAAAAATAACATATGTCTTGACCCCCATGATGCATCCAACCTCTATGCTAACCATGGATGGTGAGCTTTATAATGTGAGTGATGAGATCTAAACCATTTAAATTTATTAGTTATGAATGTAAAGAATATAAATTTAATTTCAATGATCTAATCTACTATTAAAAATTTATATAATTTTATAAATTAAAAATCCAAAGTGTATTCCAGTTAATACAAATTTAATATTAAATTTTTATAATTTTATTTTGATAAATAATATTAAAAATAGTTTCAAGAAATATTTTTTATTATAAATTAAAAATTTTAAATCTATATCGTTCAAAATAAATCTAGATAATCAATTTAAAAAATTTTAACATTAAATTTAATCATTAAATAAAAAAAAAAAATTAAAATAATATTTTTATTTATAACTTTTATAAATTTTTATTTATTGAACATAAAAAAAAATCTTTACATGTAAACGGTCCAAATTAAGTTACAATTCAAATCCAATTACCCCTCAAAGGATGAGCAACAACGAGCGACGAAGTGTGTGTTTGGTTTTTTGTTAGGGTAAAAATTAATTAATTAAAAGTTAATTTGATAAAAATTAATTTAATAAAAATTAATTATTATAATAAAATTATATTTTAAATATATTTTTTAAAATTTAATTAAATAACTAAGCGTTGCTTTTGGAATGTAAGTTTCAAAGGTGAAAAAAAAATAAATTAGCCAAAAGCACATTAAACCGTATTTGAAAAGGACTTTTTAATAAGATTTCTTGAAAAAGATTAAAAACCAAATAATAGTTAGATTCAAAATTTATTTTAAAAGTTCTTTTAAAGATCCTAACTGAAAGTTAAAGTACTCGTTGGATTTTAGTTGGATATAATAAATTATAAAAATAATTAATTAAATGTTAGAATTTAATCATAATTGATTATATTATAACATAATCTGTTTGCATACAGTTTTTTCAAATTAATTTTAAAAAATTAAGAGATTTAGATAATTTAATCAGAATCAATTCTAGTTGTAGAAATTATCATAAAGGATATTTTTTAAATTATCATAGACAAATGTTAGTTATTATCCATATAAAAGGTTAAAAT